CCTATTCAGGTAATGAAACTGCCGTGGAAAGTATGCAAACGAAGTCACTATATAATAAATTATTAGTCTTGTGTCGTGGCCCCCCTCGAACTGCTTCGTAGCCCCTGTAGGGAGCACCCGGATGAGAACCACTGCACTAGTACAATCAAGTGATTTTACATTTAAAAATGACGCTACAGCGCTGGACGTCCTACAGTGGGTTGCAAACATCGTTTATGTGAATCAACACCTTATTTATTCATGAGTCTCAAGCTTTACCTCATAGGCCGCGAGCCGAGGCAATTTATCTTTCAGTTTCGTAGCGCACATAAGGTAACTACCTGAAAATGATTTTAAAATGTTCCTTAGAAATTTAGTAACAAATATTGCCTTGTTCCCACTTCCAAAAGGTGCACGTTTCACAGAAAAGACGCTTTTACTACAATAAATATGTGTTACCATCTGTCCTATTTTCTCTGCTTTTCCGGTATCATGGGCCAATCAACGCAGACTTCTGCATGACGTAACAATCAAATTAGTCAGCTGTAGGTGGATCCCCAGTGGTCGGATGAATATCACATGTACTACTACTGCTCGCTTTTGCGTTGAGTAGCCTTTCCACAGTTTTTTTCAGTTATTATTAGTTCAGTTATTCTAAGGAGGTGTTGAAAAGTACAAGTAAGATATTAAACACTTGTATATCCTTACCATAAATAGCAATTTTAGTTAAGCACAAGACGTTGTTAAATCGGTACGGTGCGGTAACTCCAAGGAAGGCTAGACCTAGAATAATATGTCACAAACAACGATATTTTCTAGCTTGCATGAAAGGTTTATGATTAATTTAATGACTCTTCTTGACTATTCAGCAGACCTATACTACTATATAGGCCACAGCATATTTGGAAATAGATATTAATGGCTGTTTCTGTAATGCACGGTTGTGTGAAAGAGAAGAAAATAATCAATTTTACTAATGTCGGTCGGTCTAAATCTAAATTCATAGAGTCGACAAGAACCTGGGAAGCAATGATAAGTTATGCCGGAGTGGAAAGAAAGTAGCATTGGAAACGGTTGAGAGGTGAGAAATCGAGTTGTAGACAGACAGTTGATGTTTCAAAATATAGTCTATAGTCCATACTCATACTATCATAGGGCATTTCGGACTGTGATATATCAAAATTTAGTGTAAATATAGTCTAGTAATGGTATGCAAACACTGCTGGACTGTAGTACATGCAATGAGCATATATACGCTCATTGAGTACATCAGATAAAATGCATTATGTATTCAAGGTATTAGTTAGTATTTAGTGGTATTTTTACACTCATGCTGTTCCAAATATGATTTTCTTCCTCATTTTAGATACTGTACTACAAAAGAAAACGGCAATGTTTCACCAATCCGACCTAACGCAGGCTCTAATCACTGCTGCTATCAGTGCTATAAAATGGATTAAACAAGAAGTCTTGAAGCGTAAAGGTATATGAGAATCATAATAGTTGCAAACAGCTTAGATGGGCTATTCATATTGAAATACTTTAGCACTTTTCTGCAATTGGAACTGCCCATCAAACTCATATTGTAGACACTTCATTGAGGTTTTCAATTCATTTTTTTCTCAACTATGAAGATCTTTTGAGGCTAACGAGGCATTAATAAATAAAGCTGATGAATTTGTTTGTTCACTGTATGTAGAGGATATGAAGAATGTAAATGATACCAGGGCACGTCTATTTAACACTGGCAAACATAAGGATCATACTCTCCACCCAACAATGATTCACTGAAGAAGCATAAGGCCCTCAAATCAGTTCTTGAGTTGGCAAACTGCAAGTGTAAGAAAAAATAGTCAAAGTAATTTATGCAAGTGTGCCAAAATCAACTTAAATTGCACATATTTTTGTTTTTGTATTGACTGCAAAAATCACAGTACACTTATAGAGAGGCGCAGTTTTTACCACTTCATGGCAGCTCCTGCCACGAACGAACCGCGGCAGCTTTTGCCATGGTTTTATAGCGCTATTCAGTAATCAGTATTAACGGTATATTCACAAATGAATGTACCATATTTTAATTGATCATGTGGAATTATATCTACTTAAACCCCAACCCTAACCCCAATTCCATCAAAACTGTATCCATAAGAAAAACGTTCCAACTTATCCAATATTTGTCACCATAAGGGACAGCCCTATCTTTACGGCCCACCTGCCGCGGTTACGGCAGCAAAATTTTACCTGCCATTGGTTTTCAATTTGCTGCCGCGATAACGGCAGCTCGACATTGGTTTGTGGCAGCTAAAAAGTCAGTCGCCATAGGTTTGGCCGTAGCGGCCATGGTATGGAAATACCGCCATGGTTTTGCGGCAGCTGCAGACGCCACAGAATACTTAAAACTGCACTTGCTTATATAGGAAAAGTCGATTTTCGAGATAGGGGATTTCGAAAACAATTCAGAAGAAAGTGAATTAGATATTGTAGTTGATTTAATAAATATCATTTATTTGTTTGTTTTTTCGGACATTTGTTAGTGTCGTAGTCCTGTTTCTAGAAATAATATTGCCTTTGTTCAAATACATAACCACATAAACTAAAATAAGACTAATTGTAATATTTTTGTTCACTATGTTATGTACATATTGTACATTCATTTAATTTTCTTGACTTTCCCGGTAAATTTCTAAGTGAGAAATAACTGATTTATTTGTGTTTTCGTGCTCACGATGTTAATTTGTGACTTCATTGCTTAAAAATAAATACGTTTGATAGCTTCTATAAAATGGATGTAGCTTTTTATGCTGTTCTTGTTGTAAACTGCTTGTGGTTATTACATAAAATTTATTCGCTAATGTGAATCAGCGTTGTTGGTGTCGCTGCTTTCGAGGTCACTTGCGACTCCTGTCACACAATTAAAGTATTTTTTGTTGTTGGTTACATGTATGCCATATTTTTCGTAATCTACCTAATAAATTATGATTGACTGAGGAAGTCCGATTTTGGTCAGGCAAAACATTACAGGAATACATTTGTGTTAGTGTGCTGTAGGGCTCTCGAATTGCATAGTTCTTATGTATGTGTTGTAAACTTATGGTTATTGAATTTCCGGGAACCTCTTATATTCAATTTCGCATCAGGATTGTGGAACAAGCTGTAATGCGTTCAGTATGTTCATTTTCACGAATTCATTTAGTTATCAGATGTGCGGTACGAAACTCATTTTCTGGGCTTTTTCAAAGCCTCGTCTCACGGCCCATATCCATGGTAAAGATCTACAAGTGTTAAATAACTTACTTATACATTTTTCAACAACGTCTTAGCATAACTTAACTAATAATAACTAAACGGGGCTATGGAAAGGCTGCCCAACTAAACGCAAGATCGAACAGTAATAACTAATATTCATCCGGTCGCTAACAGCTGATTCGATTCAATTGTTACGTCATGCAGAAGTCATTGTTCATTGCCGAAAATATAGAGAATATAGGACAGATCGTAGCACATATTTCTTGTAGTAAAAGCGTATTTTCCGTAAAACGTGCAACTTTTGGAAGTGGGAACAAGGCAATATTTGTTACTAAATTTTTAAGAAACATTTTAAAATCATTTTCAGGTAGTTACCTGATGTGCGCTACGAAACTCACTTTCTAGGCGTTTTTCAGGGCCTCGGCTCGCGGCCTATCACTGTAGCCGTTCCTTTCACAAGCTGCGAATAACGAAGTCGAAACCCAAGTTGATAAAGTTGAGATCGACTATGGTAGAAAGCAGGCTGTCTGTGCCAGCAATACTGCCTATTGAAAGTGATTTAGTCGAGACATTATCTTTTGACCAAATAATTTCTGAATTTGCTTCAATGAAAACTAGACTTATTGAATTTGGAACTGTCAATAAATTTTTACAATTACTGCTTCAATTCTTTTGTTGTGTGGAATTTTATTCAGCTTTTACGACGGTGTTAAGGAGACGGCATTTCGCGCCATACTGCGTTGTTACGCCACTAAGTCCATGCTTCCAAAAACAAATAACTGGCTAACTAATATCATACCCGACCTGGACTGGTAACCGGACGAGAGGCCGTGGTTCGCCATATGATTAAGCCGTTTTATCGGTTTTCCTCTCCCCCGGGATAAATATGTAAATCCTATCCTTGTTTCGCGATTCCCAAATTTGGCACAAGATGGCGTCCATGAACTTGTTAACCCTTGACGTTAACATTAGGCAAGTTGGTTGCCGGCCGTTGTGGGTTGGAACTGGTTTGCTGAGAAGTTGGTTCTTCCGTAGTCTCGTATTAGGTTAAATACGGGCAATAAAGAGAGATTGTTCTTCACTACAGACAGATTCAAAATAAGCTCAGATAAATTAAAAATGGTAAAATGAATACGGAATACTAGAGGTGGAGAGACAAAGAACGCGATAGACAGACAGAATCAAAATAAGCCTAGAGTAGGCTACCATTGAATTGAAATAGTAGAATGCACGCTAGATACGGAATGCTAGAGGTGGAAAGACAAAGAACGAGAATAAGTACCGGTATTGTGTCGGTATATTTGTATGAGGATATTTGAGTCAGTGAGCATTCTGACAATTCTGCAATTACTGTACTGAATTAACAATGCCCACGCACTGATGCATTTTGGCATTATGCAACACATTTTTATATACAGATATACCATACCCGGTACCGGTATTGTAGTTTTGTTATGATTTGATTCTACCAGGATATGGTACGGTATAGTACTGTGGTTCGGTACGGTACCGGTTACACTGTAATAATCCATTCTGCCCTTGCTGCCTTGTCAGTCCTGTGATCAAAGAATCATATATTTTTATTACGATACTTTGATATGCCTTGATATTACTGCGACTTAAAATTATAAGGATTCACCGAGTTATTTCAATTTTTCATCGGGACCGTAGGTTTGGAAAGTTTGAAACAATCACGCTCTACAATTTTTTAAAAATATAATAAAATGACAGCGAGAAATTTCTCGAAGGAAAATTTTGAAATGTCAATTTTTCATTCTACAGTTCTTACCCAGCAACTAATCAATTCGACTATTCTAAATATTAAAAATATGTAGTAAAGTGAACACTATTTCTTATCATAAATAAACAGTAGAAAATGGGTTCTTCCATGAGCTCATTGGCTGCGTGTGCGTGCGGAAGGAACATTATAACAATAAATAATCGAAGATACTTTTTCCAAACTAACATTGGGGAGGGAGGCTTTAGTTATGTTGATTTGATCGAAGGAAAAAAAGACGGACAATTTTATGCTCTGAAACGGATTATCTGCCACGATAAAAAAGCTCGAGATGAGGCTTTAGAAGAAGCGGAGTATTGTAGACAATTTCATCACGATAATATAATTCCTCTTGTGGACCATTGTGTGGTTGATAAGGGCAGATTAACAGAAGTTTGGCTTTTGCTGCCGTTTCATAAACGAGGAACATTATGGGACGAATTTCAACGCTTTATTAGTAAAAAAGAATGGATTGAGGGAAGGAGAGTTTTGCGAATTTTTTATGGGATATGTAGAGCTGTGGAAGCGTTTCATACTCACAAACCTCACCATTGGCACATCGGGATTTGAAGCCAGCTAATGTTTTACTAACCGATGAAGACGTACCTGTGTTAATGGATCTAGGATCTGTTGCACCTGCTAGAGTTGAAATCAAATCTTTTTCTCAGGCGCAAGAGTTACAAGATTTAGCCGCGGAACGATGTACAATGCCTTATCGAGCACCTGAACTGTTCCAGGTTAACATTCACACCATTATTGATGAGAAAGTTGACATTTGGTCACTAGGTTGTATTCTATACAGTCTTATGTGTCTTGAAGGCCCCTTCGATAAAGCTTGGTTAAAAAAGGATTCTGTTCATTTAGCTGTCCAAAACAGAAAGTTGGTCTATCCAGATAACCACCCTTTCCTCCAAGTTTTCGAAATCGTTAATGAGCTTATGGTTCTTGAGCCAGAAACGAGGCCCAACATAGAGTGGACTATTTCTCAAGTTGAAAAATTAAGAAATTCACAAATGGATGATTCATAGGAGTGATCTCAATATTCGTTTGATTTTGTATTTCCTGCCTCATGCTTTGATTAACTTTTCAGAATAATGTAGCCTAATTCTAAAGCAAGTTGATTATAATACAAACTTCTGTCATTTAATTTTGATAATCAGATGATAATCAACTATTTATTTTCAAGTTCAGCCTTCAGTTATTGATCAAGCAATTACTGTATATCCTCGCCATTCAAGCCGACCTCCTAAAGTTTTTTTTTTTAATTCGCATATAAGCCACAAGCGATCATGTGTATGACAACCAATCACAGACTGTTATCGCTGGTATAGCGTACCAAGCGAGCGCGCTTTGTGTGTGTGAGAATTTAGCATGGTTCGAGTTGTATTCATTAGAATTAAGTTAGCATAATGTCGTTTCATTTGAGTGTGATCACTGATCAGAGTTTTATGCGTTTAAGCCTTAATTTGGCAATTTTTTGTTGAGTTTTTAACTCCGCTTACATGCGTGGATATACAATTCCACAGAAATGCCATATCATGGAAGTGGATTTGGGGCTCCCGAAGTATGCGAACCAAGATGGCAGACATCGGAATGTAATATGTGAACTAGGTTAGGGTTAGGCCATAATTTTAGGTATAAATACTGCGGGAGGCTCTTGGCTAGTCTTCGAACTGATAATAAGACTAAAATAGGGAAAATTGGAAAAAAATTATCGCCTAACCCTAACCTGTTACCCATGTTACGTTACGTTGTCCGCCATCTTGGTTCGCATACTTCGGGAGCACCATGGATTTTATCAACAGCCTCTATAGACTGATTATGATGTAAGGTTAGGTTTACACCTTTTTCATTCATTTGACATTTAAGGTATTCTGGTGCTACATACTGTTCTGATATGTGTATGAGAATCAGGGCTTTTTTAGCCCATTCTCACATTGTTGCAAATTAACAGAATTTCTTTAGTTACAAAATTATCGTGGTGCTTAGAAGTCGGTGGTAAATTCTGTGTTATTATAAAATTACAGTAGTCTAATAGTGGGGTCTAGCTGCTTAATTTTTTGGTGTTTTACATTTTAGCTTTAACAAGTTTGATTTTGCATGTTTATCAAATTTATTCCTATCAAATCCCTATCAATATATCCTAATGGATATTTCAAGTATTTTGATATTTCATTCTGTATTATATTTTACATGACAGTTTTAATTTAGAAATTTGAATTGAAATGTCACTGTTATAAATTCGATTTTTTTTATAAATGCTGATTTGTAATCTAATCTACTTGTGTTCCACCCTTCATAAGGCTATAAGCACAAGCAAAACGTTGTACCAGGGTGTAGCCGTGGCCAAGCAAAATGTTGTACCGACTACGGACCCATGATAACTCGAAGCATGCAATTTCAAAAAACTTTTTAATTTTATAACTTTAACGCTCTTGTGCTAATGGCCTTATATGACATGCCTTCCTTTATACAATTTAATGGTTTGAAAAGGAAAAATATATATCGTAAATTCTTTTGTTTTTGCGGTGAAAGTTTGTTTCCTTATTTGTACCACTCTTGTAGACGTTCATGTATCTTTTAAAGTTTTGAACCTTAAATGAATGCTTATTATTCTTGTGCAATATTTTTAATATTGTTGCATCTTAAATTATTTTGTGTATTTACTTGATTTTAGTTTTAATTTTAAACATGAATGTCATTTCATGCTGTGGATGACTCTTAATCCTGAAAGAAACACCCCTATGTTGACGAAGCCAAAAGTAACATTTATTAGGGTGGACAACTTTCCTAAATAAAATAGTTAAAGTATCAGGATTTTGTGTTGTGTCTTATTTTAAATTTTCTGTATTCTGTCTAATCCAGTGTTTCTCAAACTTTTTGAGGCGTATTGAAATATCCAAAATAATGCAGGCAAGATAAAATCCAACAAATATTATTTTCAATTAGCTCCATACCCCCTTGAAAAATTGCCCCCTTGAGTGGCGCGGCCAACTGTTTGAGAAACGCTGGTCTAATCTATATTGATCGTGTTATCTGTCCTGGGAAAATAGCTCTTTAGTATTTATGTTAACCTTCAACCACATACACTGTAAATATTCGTGTCTTTCCTGTGCAGAAAATAATATATAGAAATAGATTTGGTCAATCGATGTCGTACAAAGATGAAAATGTTGAAATGTCAGTGGAGATAGCGACATCGAGTGTTTCGTTGGGAAATAACGAACCATCAGATGAAAATCGTGAAAAAACAGATGACCTTTCACCTGCGCCTGACGCTGAAAATGAAATGGGACAACTTAAATCAAAATTGAAAAAAATTAAGGGGAAGAAAAATGAAAATAAAGAAGAGGGTGAAAATAAGGAGGTGGAGATAGAATTTGCTGAAGGAGATGGTAGTTTTATGTGTGGGGTTGTAGAAGGCTTCTATGGTAGACCATGGACAACTGCTCAAAGGAAAGAACTTTTTCAAAGGTTGGCGTAGTTGGATTTGTTATATAATATGATTCAAATCAATAACGCACTGGTTGACTGTATTAAACCTCAATTAACTTGCACAGATCTACATTTAAGCAGGTATATTAGTCTGGAACATGCTGTGGAATCAAAAGGTTGACATGTTTTCTTTGGAAGTGTCGTTGTTCAAACTGCTCGAAGTCTGAATCATAATTTTGAAATCTAGATCGAATATCCTCCTTTCATTAATAATGAGGTCAAAATTTTCAACTCAAAAATTATTAATTTCACTAATCGTTTTTAACAATCTGTAAAACAAATCAAAGTATTTATTATCAAAATTCGATTTTCTTAGAATTTCGAGTTTGAATATTTCGTAAGTCTGACTCAAAAATTTTTTTGAAGCTGGAGTCAGGAGTCGAATATATTTTTACTAAACTTCTAAAGATCTCTCATTTTATTCAGAATGAAATCGATGGGAATGAATACTTATCTTTACGGACCGAAAGATGATTACAAACATAGATTATACTGGAGAGACTTATATTCTATGGATGAAACAGGTAAAGTTTCAATTTTTCCATTGGCTTACGCTGGTATGCAAGAGTCCACCATTTATTTGAAGACGAAAAGGTTGAAAATTCTTCGTGTTCCAGCATTGCCTACTCACTTTTTACACCCTCTCTCAGTTCGTGATCTGGTCGTTTGAAACCAACCCAAGTTGTTTAACCTGTGCAGTCAGAGGGGTGAGTGGTGGTGCTGGGGTTATGGGGGGCTTGACCCCATTTAAAAATGTTCTTTAGAAGAGTTTCTAATTTTTGCCTAAAACAAATCACAATTTAGTTTTACGGTAAGCGCATCGCGATAAAAGCGCATCATGAAACGGGCCAAGTTTTCATTTTACTTTGAGATGTTTATACTCTGAGCAAGACTCTGAACTAGAGTTAAAAGTTACTATTTATTGCAGGGTTTAAACTTCGTCTACCCCAATTTTTTTACAGAGGGTTAGGCAATTCCCTCCAATTATTTTCCCTCCACTCGATATGGGACAATATTAGTGAATTTTGGAATCACTGATTTAAAACAAGCAGGCGCCTGAAATCAAGTAGCTTTTAGGTTAGGCAAAATTCAACTTTTACCTGTTCATTATAGTTGGCCGAAATTGTTTTACCATGAAAGATTTCTCAGTTTGAACATGATTGGTAGCTTGAAGTCTATTTGGTAATGTTAATAAGGAATATGGTCCCTGAAACTGAGGTAAATTACCCCGAATAGGTCAGAATTTTTCTTTTTTTGTGGGATTTTAAATTAAATTTAAATGGCAGGATATTATCTGAAGATAGCAATCAATATAAGTTAACTCCTTAGCAATATGTTACCAAGTTAATATGTGCATGAAGAATAACTGCTAACATAACTAGTAGGCTTGCACGTAATTTACGGATTTACGGAATTACGTAATTATTTGGAGTTACGGAAGGGAAATTACGAATTACGTAAAGTCGTAATTATTGCATTGAAACGAGCTTTCTTCAAAGCAGTCAATTTCGTCGATTGCGAAAAATGAAAGCTCAACAGTAGGAAGAGAGTTCCGGTATTCGCAGCCGTTTTTCTCTCTCTTGTTACGTAGGTGAAGGAAGGCCTGACGCGTTGCCATTTACTAACCTATTATCAACTTCTCTGGCATGGCCAATGTAAATTATTAACGTAGTTAAGGGGGAAGAACTGAGTAGGGCCGTTTGACGCCAACACACCTGGTTTTAACTTCTCCCGTAACTTAACCGTAGATAAGGGATAGAATTGCGTTGAGACCTATTGACGCCAACACACCTGGTTTCAACTTCTTCTCGCTTCTTATCTAGCATGGCCGTGGCCAATGTACATAATAACCGTAGATAGGGGGAAGAATTGTGTTAAGACTGATGGACGTTAACACGCCCGGTTTCAACTTCTTCGTGTGAAATGACTAATGAACGCAGAAGATCAATCTTTCAAACATGGTCTATCAAACATTTGTATCCATTTTACTTTTATTTATTATTTACTTGTTCCAGTTTTTCGTTACTTATGGTATATAATATATATGTTCCGTTTCTATTTTATAGTCACGCGTTTAACTAGTGGGAATTCCCCACCAAGTGTGGATTAGCAATGCTTAACCATTCTTTATTGTTAATATGAACACTTGATATATGAACATGGAATATCATACTGTTTTTGGCTGTTTTATTTCAGACTTGGGGTATAAACAGGAAAAAATCCATAACATTTCAGCACGACGATCTTGTGAAATTTAACGAAGAGCTTTCGCGACGAATTGGAACCGAATAAGCGAAAAGAGCGATTGATCACTCGCGCCAATACCTCGCCGTGATAATTAATGTCGCGCTTATCAAATAGCAATATGACGACAAAAGAGAGATTGCGTAATGAACCAACGCAACTTCGTCTTCTCGGCATCGGTAAAGCGATTGAGACGGCAGAGAAACAGCAAAACGACGGATCATATATAATCAAATATGAGCCAGTGTGTTTATTCTGTGCGAGATCCATTTTCTATTACAAAATCTTGATGTTCTGTTAACGGTTTTATCGTTATATATCTGTCCGGACTTGGCCTTGCTCATGATGTTTTCCACAATTCCTCTCAATATTTCGGCCATATATGATTAACTGTCTTACCAAATGCGGCAACTTAGTTTGATTTATCGTCGACTTGAATACCACCGGCACTCGACCAAACTTGTGTCAATCTTGGCCGATAGGATCGACGACTTGAGTTAGCAAATAAATGTCGTGAGTGTAAAATAAATGTCACAAAATGCATTGTTTTGCGATATAACTTTGTGTTTTCGGAGAAGGCATATCATATGAGTTCCATATTTAAATTATACTCAAATAAATAATATTTGAGCTTAAATTTATCGCAAATAATGTTATAAACATTCAGTCCGCGAAATGATTGAATGTAAAATGAAGCATGGTAATCGGAATATCGTCAATAAGTCGACATCAATAATTATCATTATAAAATGCTAACAAGGCAGTAATATCGGATAATGCAGAAGACGCTGCAAAAACAAGTCTTCGTCGCGAGGAAATCGCAAGTATAATCAAACGAGAGAATACGCTCGTCGTTAGTTAATAAATTAGAAACCCGTAATTTTTATTCAGCACTAAGGTGGTTTTAAAAAACTATCGTTTCCATAAATATCCGTATACCAGTGTCGGTAATAATAAAATAAAATTGATCGCATAAAAATGGGACGGTTAATTTGCGAAGGTGATAAAGGAAAACCAAAGCTAACACAAAAGACAAAAATCAGAATAAAATTAATTTGAATTCACTCCTCGATATTTGCCTTTAACATCTGCCGACGGCGTGTAGTACTGCCAAGAATATGAAAACCCAACTTCAATGTCCCATTCGGAAAAGAAGTGGATTCAATTGGTTGTTATGATAGGTTTAAATGCATGGAAAAATATCGCAATTACGGGGTCATTACGTAATTGATTTTGCCGTAATTACGGAATTGATTTTTGTCAATTACGTGCAAGCCTAATAACTAGTTACTGTGTTATGTGGCCACACCTGTTATGATAGCTTTTTATGTGTGGGAGTCGGGAACTAGAAATTGTATGATGCACTACCAGTAACTAATAAATACCATCAGTGTGTATATAACAATACTCATTAGGTTACACCCAGTATCTTAATAATGCCCATACCTATGAATTGATTGATCCATCCAATCATTCATGTTCGCTAAACTCAATTCAGCAGATAAATAAATTGCAGCTGGCGAAATTCCAGCAAATAGTGTCTTCCTCTATTGTTACGTAACAGTCACGTAACAATAAAGTCAGACACTAAGTAACAGAAAGTAAGCAACATAGAAAAGTAAAATGAATTTATTGATTCATAATATACACAACATTTGAAATAAGAAACGATAAAACATTTATAATAAATAGAATATGTAATATATTCTATCATATATTAGTTTAATAACACAATTCTGTTAATATTTGGGGCGCACTTCGGGAACTGCTAGGTTATCCAATTTACTAGTTTTTAAAAATAACAATTTCTGGAACCTTTCTGTCATGTGTTCAATTGTTGCACGCATTATAAATTGATTCTCTGAGAACATATCTAGTGGGATTAATCAATTTTAATAAGCAATATAATTAACTAGTTACTATCTTGGCTAATATAATACTTTGTCAAAAATACTCCCTTTTTAAATCTTTTACGAAAATGAGTATATGTGTTCCTCCTAATTAAAAATGAAAAAGTATATTCTGTTGTACACTAATTTTCTCAAAACAAGGTCTCTAGCTATGAATAGAGTACTAATTGAGGAGTTGCATACAACCACTGATTCTTCTAAGAGAGTATTTAAACTACAAAAAGCAGAGTACACGTTTGACTATTGCTAGTGAAGAATGAAAAGTTCCAAGATGGGGAAAGGTGGAAATGCATTGAAAAAGGATGGGAACTACTGTTTTAATTAAGCGAACAGAAATTGTGAGGAATATGCCAATTATGTGAAATTCTCCTCGCCCTTTTTTTATTAAGGAAATTGGTACTCTCGTAAGGTGTGTACCTGGTTCGGGTTAGGCCATAATTTTATTATGATTTTCCCAAAGGTTTCAGGCCCATAGGTTTCATTCCCTTTACACAACTTGATGTAAAATGGGCGAACAAAATTAGTTACCTCCATATTGGTACACACACTTCTGGAGCGCCATATTTTTTGCCTGGTGGGTACGGTGAATGTAGATGCGTGAGAGCTTACAGCCAACCGAGTTTGGCACCACAAAATTTTCTCCAAAAGTTCAGAAGTTCTTACTGATCCTTTCTGTTACAGCTCTGCTAAAGCTCCTCATTGATGCAGCAACAGAGCAAGATATCCTATTCATTTATGCCATATCACCAGGCCTTGACATGTCGTTCGCTTCAGATAAAGAAGTGGAATGCCTGAAAAGTAAACTGTTGCAGGTAATTCATTAATGAGGGTGCTTGTGGTAAATTTATTGTGTTTTTTTATGTCTTTGCTTTAAACAAGGCTCTGCAAAATTTTAAACAGCTGTTAAGTCAAATAGAAGTTTATTACTAAAGTAAATAAACAGACAGAGCACATACTTATCATATAATCAAGGGCAGACTCTTTTTACAGCTGAATGAACAGTATTTATACCAGTGACCAGTGAGGCTCGCAATGAAAAAATGACATGACAGTAATAATTACTGTAAACAAACATATGATTCATAGAAAACTATTGCACTATCAACAGCAAACCACAGAAACTCAATTCTTTATATTGTAATTTCAAGCCTGACCCTTTTAAAAATATAAGCTTCATGCAATTTACTGAGTGAAGCTATAAAAACACCTGATGAAAAAAATTTAACCTGAGCCAACATGAAAAAATGTCCAATAACATTTAAAATTATGTGACTGAATGTAAATTTATTAAAATTATTTAATAAGTCTTTTTAAAATTTATCCATATATTCATTCTCACAGGTACAAAGTCTTGGATGCAAAGCATTTGCTCTGTTGTTCGATGACATAGACCCGATCCTATGTGCAGCAGACAAAATGCAATACGCATCTGCCGCGTCTGCTCAAGCTGGAGTCACAAACCAAATGTATCAGTTACTCGGGGGACCAAAGTTCTTGTTTTGTCCTACAGGTGGGTGGAAGTTTTTATTGTTGTCATTTAATAGAAGGAGTAGACATTTGATTCTTGCTCAACTAGCAATAAATGAAGTTGAGCCAATGTTATGAATGTTCCTATACCTCTATTTTTGGTACTCTTGTTAGGCCATAATTTTATTCCGATTTTCCTTATTTTAGTCAAATTACGAGTTCGGGGACTGTTTGTGTTAGCCAAGTGAATATACCTCCTGCCCATAGGCTTCCCGTCCCTTGCACAACTTGATGTAAAGTAGGCGAACGAAATTAGTTACCTCCATATTGGTACACATACTTCTGGAGCGCCAAAGTTTGTCTGTATATACTGGTGCCGGATTAGTTTGGTCATTAACTCTTTTTCTGTATTGTTTATAATAATAAAAAAGCATCTTAAGGAAATTTTTATCTGAGGTTTTGTGGGCTGATGATCTTAGCCTTATTTTGACACTTGACCTAATATTTCTTCAGACTCTAAAAAAGAGCCACAAGAATAAAGACTGCGGAACACTGATCTAAACTATATAGTTTGCTTTGATTCATTTTAAATTTGTTACATTCATTTGAAAGCAGAATCAGTAATTCAATTTAGGCACAACTGGCAAAAAGTACTTTTCAGCTAACGTTTCGAACACCTCTATAGTTCTATTTTCTATTCATTCAATCAATAATGTTGCAGACTGGAACAAGTTACAAAAACCTAATTTGGAAACACTTTAACATGTTATGTAATATCTTATTATGAAACATTGTTATGATAAATTTAATTGACATCCTCCTCAAATCTTATTACTGTTGCATATGCAAAGAAACAACAATTTGCATAACAGGCAAAAAATAATTATAGCTGACTTTTTCATCACCTCGACAGCTCTATTTTCTATTTATTCATTCAATAATGGTGCAGACTGGAAACAAGCCACGCAAACCTAATTCATCTCTACTTCAATATATTATGTAATACCTTATTATGGAACATCATTTTGATGGAATTTAATTGGCATCCTCCTTAAATTTTATAGTGACGTACGCAAAGCACCAACGATATAGCTTATTAAGGACAAGGATTGCCAATGCTTATTAATATACTATACAGATTACATTATGAAATAATATTTTTGAACATGAAATGTTGAATATATTTTTAGATTATGTTATATTCAACAAAGAACAAGTAGAATTCGATGAATATATTTTCAAATAGAAACAAATATTTTGATTATAAATGAGTATTTTTCAAATTTACATAAATGGGCCATTCCAAGCAAAAGTTGAATTCCATCAATTTTTTAAAAAGTGTAGTAAAAGTAATTTTTTTTATTTTCGATACCAAAAGGCATTGGAACTTTATTGGACTACATTCTTTCATCGAACAATTTAAAATTTCACCCAGGTTTTTGATGGTTTATAAAAAATGGCCTGAAATGTAGAAATTTTGGTATAATTGACATATTTTGTGATGATTCCTGACACAAAGTGTTCGATTGTGTGGTACAGTTATTTCATATGGAATTGACGCACTGGATTTAAGTTAATAAAGTTTGAATGTTTGCAGTGCTGTAGGACATTTCTTCACCCATTTAACGATTTATTACCAGAATTTTAAGAGATGATAGAGGCCGCTATTCCGAAGTGGAAAAATGTCCTGTAGTGTCACATACAATATGCACATTATTGGCATGGATTTACAGTGTTACATTAAGTAACTTGAGCAACACATAGAGGGGTAGTTCAGCTACTGCACCAGAAAATATTATGAGCTCCTACTGTACCATCGCAACACAACGTACTGTTAGTGCATGGTGGATTTGCCGTCCTGTAGTGTCACGCTATATTTTACTATATTTTTTATCTACTAAGTAAGTCTTGGGTGTAAGATTTGTGCAATTTTTTACATATTCAATAAAGCAACGGATTGGACAATGAAACAAAACATGTAGCTGAAAATGTGAAAATATATTGCATCCAACACCATGCAAAATTTCTGGAATTGTCCTGTAGTGTCACATGGAATAGCCCAAATATACATTATGACTAAAATTTCTTCATTCAATTCCTGAAAACTTTAGATAACTCAGGAAAGTCAAACGCCACCGAAAAGAAAAAAAATCATAGCTTTGGGATGCTTGTTAGACCTTCAACGCTCTTGAAAATCCATGTTTTCTGGCCTCCGACCGCTAGCCGATACGGTATAACTTGGCAATTAGAAATTTCAGACCCCCTCCCTTTGAAAATACCTGGCTATGATTCCCTTGTGAAGGTCTTTGCTCATGTTCCACAGACAACCGCTCTGTGGCTTGGCACCCCAGAGCGGCCAAGAGTTTGAGAAATATTTCTCGTAACTATATCATCTACTTTCTACCAACTGCGCATCTTTACTAGATCAGCCCATCTCTCTCCCTGGCAATTTTTGAGTTCATTGTATCATTTTTCAGAATACTGCAACAGTATGGCAATACCAGATGTCAAGAATTCGTTGTATCTCAAGACTATAGGAAATGAATTGAATAAAAATATATCAATCATGTGGACAGGTGAGCTGGCTGTATTTGCACTGATGGTTGTATTGGTATTGTTGGCTGTATTTGTACCTGATGGTTGTATATATATATATATATATATTGTTGGTTGTATTTTTACTGTTGGTTGTATTTTACTGTTGGTTGTATTTGTACTGATGATTGTATTTCTATTTTTAGTTGTACTTGTATTGTTGGCTGTATTTGTACTGATGGTTGTATTTGTATTGTTGGTTGTATTTGTATTGTTGGTTGTATTTGTACTGATGGTTGTATTTGTATTGTTGGTTGTATTTGTATTGTTGGTTGTATTTGTACTGATGGTTGTATTTGTATTGTTGGTTGTATTTGTATTTTTGGTTGTATTTGTACTGATGGTTGTATTTGTATTGTTGGTTGTATTTGTATTTTTGGTTGTATTTGTACTGATGGTTTTATTACTTATTGATTTCAATCGGTAAGTATGTTGATAGGTATTTGTCTGTATGTCTGTCTGTTAGATGCACGCGATATCTCACGAAAACGAGATTGAATCTTGTCCAGATTTTTCATGTGCATTCATAATATTTCGGACCAGAAGCCTATTGATTTTGGGCGAATTATGTCGTATAATTAGCGAGTTATGAATTAATTAGTGATGGGACACAAGGTGTCACTATGGAGTAAGAGCGCTGTTTTGGGGGATCCCCTAACTTTTGATCGATAAGTCATTGTTCTCTGACCGATATTCTCGTTTGTATTTTTGGTTGTATTTGTATTGTTGGCTGTATTTGTACCTGAAAGTTTGTTGTTGGAAAACATTCCAACCAATGGATCAATCAATTTTAAGTTTTTAGTACCTAAAAGAAATCCCTTTTTTCATATGAGACCTGAAATTCTGTCCAAAATGTTGGCTGTTTTATTTTCTAATCGTTTCCTTCACAACGAACATAACTGCCTCCAGATTTTTTCAGCAAACAAAGTGGTCTAAGGCCTAAATGTACTGGTACATGCCTAAATGTACAGGGGCACATCTAGGATTTCCAAAAAAAGAGGGGGGGGGGTTCAAATTCAGAACTTTCCATGCTATGGCTTCTAAAACAGTTGTTGCGATTATGTGCGCTTGTCTTTCTTCTCGGCCAACCTTTTCATCGTATGATGATTTTTCTGTCAAGTAAAATATTCAATTCATGACATCTACGAGAATTTAAAATGTCATTTTATATCAATTTAATTGTGTACAAAGTAACTTGCAATTGAGTCAACTTGCTACAAAATAAAAGCATTGATACCACAGCAATCTGTGAACATGAAAATGTGAAAAAAAACTGCCAGATAATATTTAGGCTACCTATGTGCCATCATATTTGAGCATTGCTTTAAATTCACATTTAGCAATTTCAACAGCAGAAAAACAATGATTCAACATGGTAAACATTGCGCAATTTTTACAATTCAGTCAACCTATTATGACATATTTGTCATAACTATGTTTGCACTCTCATAAATGTAAAAATTTAAAGTGAGTAAATAAGTAGCATATTTGGCATTCTTTTGTCAATTGGTAAGAAGGCGTCATACTAGCTTGTTAAAATTCCAAATTATGTACTGAATTATTATTTGAAAAGGCCACTGTCACTACCTAGTACGCTGTCGTTATAGGTACATTTTTGCGTGGATGGTAACGGTTTATTAAAGTTGCCTCATGTACCAGCGGAGAACCTGGGCGCCCACTGACTTGTTTAATATTTGTTTTGATAAGATTTTGCCATCTTCTTGTCTGTGTAAATTCAAGATGGCAAAAGTTAGAAATGGAGTTTTAAAATATCTCGTCCCCGCCTATTTTTTAAACTTCTTGATTAATTATTCCCACCTAAGCTAGAGGGCAAGAAACAAGATTATTTTGATGCATCTGAAACAAATAGCTGGATGACTGATTCTATGAATTGGACTGGTAATTGTACGAGAGGCTGTGTTTTGCCATATGATTAGGCCGTCTTCGTGGCTTTCCTCTCCACCAGGTCAGATAAATATGTATATCCTTCCAACTATCTATAGAAACTGAAATTGGAACACAAATGGAAATTTGTATGGGTATTGAAATTGTGTTTTCAAGTGGGGATCAATTATAAAATATGGAGTTTTGTACAACAACAAAAAACATTGAAAGTGTTAAAACTTTAAAATAGAAATTTCAAATAGAATTTTTGATTCAGGGCCTAAAGTTGTATCGAAACACATCTCAGTGGAATCAATCAAAGAACTGACAGAGAGTGTTCAAAGAAAGATTGTCATCTGGGACAACATCCATGCCAACGATTATGACCCAAAAAGAGTCTTCTTGGGACCGTATAAAGGTAAAGATTTTGTAAAAAAGAATTGTGCAGCAAGAGTGTAATGTTGGTTTTGGGGTACTCCTGTAGCATGTGTACCAAGATAGGTTTAGGGCAAATTTTTATTCCGGTTATTCTTATTTTAGTTCTATTATGAGTTCGGGGACTGTCTATGTTAGCCAAGGGAATATACCTCCTGCCCATAGATTTCAGTACCTTTACACAACTTGATGTAAAGTAGGCAAACAAAATTAGTTACCTACATATTGGTACACATACTTTTGGAGCGTAAGGAATTTTTCTGAAGCCGAAACTAAAACTGACCTCAACATTCACTTTTTTATTCGTTATGCCTTGAGCCAATCGGGTGGGTTACATGGGAATGTATCTTCTTCTAAACTAAATTCTTATTTGCCGTTCCTTGAATAATTGGTACCAAAAAGCAATTGCTATATAGGCTGGGACAAGTCAGCCGAACATATGCCTAAAATTTAACGGGACATTCAACTTATGGTTCTATATATGACATGGGCAAACTACAGCCCGCGACTAAATCCGGGCCGCTAGGTATTTCAATCTGGCCCGTCTGATGCTGCCGCAACCAACCTGAAACCAACTTTTGATGTTTTATCGAAAAAATAGCTCAAGAAAATTTGTTGAAGTTGCGATTAAATTGAATGATGGCACGAAGCCAATTGTTTTCAACGCTTGCCTTTGTAACTCTGTAGATATTGTTAAACTGTAACTTTTCATGTCACACGGCCCGTCAGTCTAGGTAGCCAAAACTTTCGGCACATGGTCTAAAAATCTTGCCCTACTCTGTTCTATATTCTTAGGCTGAACTGGATAATTTTGATAAACTTTTGATCTATAGGTCGTTCTACTCATCTTATTCCTCATTTATCTGGAGTTTTAACAAATCCCAACTGTGAGTTTGAGTCCAATTATATCGCTATGCACACGCTCGCCTCCTGGTGGAAGAGTTACCAACTTCAAATTGAAATTGCACAGAAAAACAATGAAGCTGAAGCAGAGAAAAAGTTGGATATAGAAATGGGTAACTATATGATAAAGTCATTAGTAATTAGTAATTAGCATTAGTGAGGGCTCAAAATCGAAACCATCAAAGGTAAAACAAAACGAATCATGACAGCCTAGCGGCTTAGCAAGTATGATCAGGCGAGAAAGTTTTCGATGTGAGAGAAAACCTTTGTCTCTGAATAATAAGTTAGTAACCTAAAATTCAAAGACTTTCGCATGGCACCGAAGAGGTGAAAACCGAATCCTGTTATCGGATCCTTTTGGATTCGAATACTTCAAGATTCATATTATCCGAATTCAGTATTCTGAGTTTTTGGATCAGCAAAATTGGCTATAAACAGTTAGTTGGAAGATTCAACTCATTGACTCATTCCCAAACGTTTCCTATCACTGTTTAATATTACTCACTTTCAGAAAACGTCATCAAGAAATCAGATATACAAGAAACAGTAGAATTAAAGGAGGAGCCTGATGCCGGGAAAGAACAGAATAAAGAAAATAACGGAGAGAAAGAAGAGACAAATGAAAAGGAAGGTAACGAAACCATAGGTGTTAGTTCCAAAATGATTTGCTTTATACAAAGTCTAGCTCTCCAGATGTGTGTACCAATATGAAGGCAACTAATTTTGTTCGCCTACTTTACATCAAGTAGTGTACAGGGACTGAAACCTATGGCAGGGTATATTTACTTGGCTAACACAGACAGTCCCTGAACTTGTAATAGAACTAAAATAAGGAAAATCTGAATAAAAACATGCCCTAACCTGGTACATATACCACAGGAGTACCAATCCTCCGTGAGGAATCAAATCTCTTAACCTTGTATAAGGTAAATAGCAGTTTTAGCATTAACACCAAGCTAAGCCTAACTGTTGAAAAACCGACTTAATACAACCAAATACTCAAATCAATTACATGGAAAAAAAACACCAGTTACAATGTTGAATAACCGACTTCACCATAAATATCGTGTTGTTATTACCGAAGACCTTTCGTCTTCTTTTATTAACATTTATGTGTTTTCTCTTTCTTTTTCTAATGGGGAAAGAGCAAATCCAAATAGTAAATTAGTTGATTTTGTCCATCCGAGCCATCAAGCCAAGCTTACTTTTTCAGCTTCATCATCAAAGCCTTCTCAAGATGAAAGTCCAAATATATCTAGAGATCTGGCAACTGTCAATGAGGCAAAAGTGGAAGGAAGTGAAAATCCGAAATCTCCTAAAAAAAAAGATTTGAAAAATAAGGAAACGACGGGAGATGGGATGAATGGAAAAAAGGAAGGTAATGAGTAGATAATAAGTTATTCAAAATATTTTTCTGTGTAGTAATACATGTAGTACATGATGATCTTTGAGGTGATAAATACATTTCGACCGAAATGGTCGGTTTGTAGACTATGTATCTGGCTGTATTCCTGAATTCCTTTGTCTAATATTATTGCCACTGACTTGCAATTAACTTGACTTGTTAAATTTATTCCAAAATGAATAATCCAGTCTTTTTATTGAGCGACGAAAGATAATACGACAATAAGAACGGGTGAATAAGCTACATCAATGACGTATAATAGCGTATAATTTGAACCTTGGATGCTATACTAACATAGATAACCTGCTATACAAAGATAATTCTAACGCTTCTATTTGCGCTAAGTATAACCTAGACCAGCGTTTCCCAAACTTTTTGGGCCGCGGACACCTATTTGTGGACATTATTTTTTACGGACCCCCATCCTATACCATTTTATGTGCGTATTCGGGGAAGAAGGATAATGTTCCATTTGGATTTAGAACAGAACAACACAAACGACATTAATGTGACGAATCAATTTGTGACAAGCAAACTCGTAGGCCCAACCCTACAACAACGAACTAATTTAACTGTGTATACTTGAATAGTCTCTCACAATTAACTTACCGTATTTGCTCGTTTTGTACCACGGACCCATATTTTTTTAACCAAACTCACTAACTGGGCCCTCATTCAAGCACAGACGCTTGGTATTTTTAAAGTAAAATTATACACAAAAATTTATGTATACCGGTAACTTTGTTAAGCCATGTGTGTGTCAAGTCTTCATTCATCCATCCATTTCGACTGTAAGCACACACAACACCACTTCCTTTCTGAAGGCCTTTATCCACTCGTTTACCCTTGAATACTATGAAAGGTGAGGGCTTGCTATCATTGGCCTTGGCAGCTAGTACAACAGTCACTATTGATTTCTCATGGCCAGTGGTCTTGATAGCGCCTCTCTCATTTCCTATTGTTCTCTACTACTGAAAAATCAGCTTTTACATCGGGCGGGTATTCAAGCACCGGCTCTTTTTTATTTTTATGTTCTGTTCACACAGGCGGCTATTCAAACGGGCCCTTAATCAAGATCGGGCGATAAAACAGCATCTACGGTAACTGGGTTTCACGCCTCGTTCCTGCATCAACGGGGCTCAAATGACCTTGGCAATCTCGACTGGTGATAACTCAATAACGCATACAATCAATTATTACCGACATTCTAGCTCTGTGACAGAGGTCTACCTCACAAACACTGAAAGCGACGATCGTCTACATTTACAATAATTTTTTCACTCCCATTGTTAAGGTCTCGTAACAATTACCATTTGCGATTGCGTTAACTTACGACTTCATCTTGTTTATGAATGACTATGTAACAGTGGATATACGTTAAATGTATATATTTCAAACTCTTAATATCGCTGCGGACCGACCCCCTGCGTAGTCCTCACGGACCCTTGGGACCCCAGTTTGGGAAACCCTCACCTAGACAGTTAAATATTATCTCTCTTTATACAGTCAATGCTTCTATAAGTCCGCTGAGCAGCAAAGGCAGCAGTTTGATGGGAAGTGAAGATTCCGACACAGACAGTGATTATTCATCGCACGAAGAATATTTCTCTGTTCAAAGATATTCTGTTTCACCACCATTCGATCATGGAGCATATGACCCCGAGGACTCTCTCAGACAGGTTGGGCAATTTATAGTATTAGTCTGGAACAGCATTTCTTGAACTGTGTTCTGCGAGCTTCTTCAGGGCGTTTTGTGGAACAGTGATCAAAATTGTGATTAAATTGGTCGCCATGGTGATCTCGACCACACTTTGGTGACTCTTGGTCTTGTCTTCTAACTGGTGAGAAACAGACGGACATGGCTTGTTATTTAAATGGGCGAAAGGTCTGGTGCCAGTCTGGAATGCATGGAGTTTTCGTTAATCGCCAGCTTTAGTCTTAACTATCAATTTTACAGCAAACGTTCAATCTTACCCTAGAAATTTTTTGTGAACCATCCAACAATTTTTCCTTTTAATTTAATTTGGTGTTCCTCAAGGCAAGACGTAAAGAGTAAAAAAAAGGTGTTTCAGGGTAAAAAAAGTTTGCAAAGATCTACGTTGAAGGATTGGGGTAATGCGTGCCATCGTACCTAGGATTGCTCTGCATGGGTTTACAGATTTGAATCCATCTGTGATAATTATGGGGGAGAGGATTGCTTCTCGTCCTCGCCACATAACTACTAGTAGGTTGGGGCTTCCTCCACCATCAAATCCAAGTATCTGTAATAAATAACAGTTACCTATGCCTGACATAGACTAGTAACTGGAGAAGTTAAGCCGTCAAGTTGTCAGATGATTAAGTTGTCTTAACAACTCTTTTCATTCAAATCCATACATATTGATAGATAAACTGTCTTAATCCATTTAATTTACGGAACAATTTTATATTTACACAGGCAATCAGAAGTTGGCTTCCGTACTTTTCTGCCACTCGGTTACCTCTTGGAAAACCGATTGCACGAAGTGGACCTCCACTTGGAATGCTTTCACAATGTGACGTTTCTCTAATCTCAAATGCACCTATGGGTCCGACAAGTTCCACAACCAATGTATTAACAAATGACCCAATACCAAGTACTCCTTTCGCTATTTACGGATACGGGTCCGCATCTCACTCCCCAAATATCGAAATAAAAACAGACTCTGCGGAAAACGAGGCAAAAGATGACAGCGCTAATGATGTCACTGTTGCTGTTAACGATAGTCTCCATGGTAACGAAATTTCTGATGTTGAAATGGCCGGTGCTACACCGAACCGTACGCCACCGAGTGTAACACAAGTTCCTCCAGATGGTGCTAATGAGTTAAAATCGGACAATAAACCCCCCTCTGATTTGGATGTTGATATGAAACCTCCGTTTGAAGATGAAAATATGCAAATGGGAGACTCTGAGGATTCGCCAGTCAAAAGAATAGAGTCGACTGTACAAGTGAGTTTCCAATCATAGAGATGCCTCAACTTTTCAACCAAAGCATGGCTGTGAACTCTCCCAACTACGAATGATTTAAAATATGATTTTTTTTCCTAATCTCTCTTGACTCCCTCCTCCAAATTTTGGTAGCAAAACACTTGTGTGTACATAAAGACTTTCCTGACAGTCTGTCTTTGTTGCCACTATTATAAGTTCGGAAGTCGGCTGCATAGCCATGTTTTTTTTATACTGAATGACTCATTCAAAAAAGTAACCAATCGAGATAATTGCCACTGTGAGAATCGCCGTTTTTTTTAATGCACAATGATTGCTTTATGAACGCATTTCAAAAATTTTGCAGCTCAGATACTTATATACAATACACAACTGATCCTAGCAAAATTAGAAACTTTGATTGATGTTCCCTACAATGATTTTGGTATCAAACATCCAAGACAATTATTTTGGCAATATGTGTACAATGGGTACTCCCATAGTGTGTGTACCAGGTTAGGGTTAGGCCATACTTTTATTCCGATTTTCCTTGTTTTAGTTCTATTATGAGTTCTGAGACTGTCCGAATGAGTTGAAAATATCTGAAGATCACTTTTTTATTGTGCGCTTCTATAACTCCACTCCAAGCAAGGATAGACATTGATATATATTACGATAATGTTTTTGTGAGGACTGTTCGGCCTTGGTCTGTCTTCGATCATGGGTTCAAACTGAAGATCTTCAAGCTGCTTTGATAGCATAACTTTATTTCTGTTTCTCCCGTAGTGTGTGTACCAAGGCAATAATTTTATTCAGAATTTCCTTATTTTTGTTCTATTTTGAGTTTGGGGACCGTCTCCGTTAGTCACGTGAATATACCCCCTGCCCATCCTTCAGTCCCTTTACACAACTTGATGCAAAGTAAGCGAACAAAATTAGTTACCTCCATATTGGTACACATACATCTGGAGCACCCTTAAATGAGTTGAGAGCTTCTTAAATGAGCTTCTATAACTCCACTTTAAGCAAGGCTTTAGACATTGATCTCTAAAGATACCCCCTGCCCGTAGGTTTCAGTCTCTTTACGCAACTTGATGTAAAGTAGGCGAACAAAATTAGTTACCTCCATATTGGTACACATACTTCTGGAGCGCCTTATTTCTCACTTAGATGGAGATAGAAGATGAAGAAGAACGTATGCAGTTCGATGCCGAAGCTGACAGTGATGTATCCATGACAACCAACAATAGCACAGAAGAGAAGAAAAATGAGAAAGTCGAAGATGATAAAGATAGAAGAGGTTGGATAAGAATTTGTGTGTTAATTTCATTGTTTTTTCAATTAGGTTATAGCATGGGTGGGCACCAAGATGACGCACAACCTGATCACCCGAACCTGGTAGGCTGGTACACATACTATGTTCAGGTTGTGCGCCATCTTGGTGCACATACTTCGGGATACTTCCAAATTTTGTTCATCTAGACTGGCGGGTCATGTAAGTGTGATGTAAAATTAACATTTTATGAACAATATTTTACAGTGTTACAAAAGCAAAAGTGGAAAACAATATGACTCGTGCCAAAACTAAATTTAATCGCAATCTCAACAAATTCCTTGAGCTATTTTTAGTTAAAACATCAAAATATGGTTTTAGTTTGGTTGTGGCAGCATCAGGCGGACCAGATTGAATTACCCAACGGGTCGTACTTTGCCCACGTCAGGTGTAGAGTCTTTTGGGTAACATTATAAATGACAAGATAATTCTTAATCCGCTGTCCATATACCAGGCCAATAGACCTCTATGATTTGAAACTATCCATTTCTTCATGTAACTGACCATTTCAATGTTGTTTGAAATCAAAATCGACTCTCAGATCTGATTTCACTAGTGCAAACATGTTTGTTTAAATTTTCAAATAATTTTAAGGTTCATTGTCTGGATCATCTGTTGACATGGCAACACCGCCTCACCAATTATCATCATCAGCCAATCAAAGTCCTGCACATCAAAGTACAAATGTTGAAGATGAAACTGCGTCTACGTCCAAAGAGACAGAGATTGAGAATGAGTGAGTTTATTTCACACGTTGCTGGGGTTAATTGATATATCTTGAAAAAAATAGGAAATCTGTTAGTGTTACAACTAGGGATGCCCCAGTGCAAAGAGTAAGGTAAGTAAGTCAAGATTTTTTTTAAGGATAGTTTAAAATTATTTTTTGCTATTGTTGCCTTTTTCTTTTTTTTTTATTTGTTGGATTTATGTGGCTCATGACAAGCTTTCAAACAAATGTTGAAAAAAGCTAGAACCCCCCCTTCTTATTTGAGAGACCTTGCCATTCTTCTATGAAATATGCTCAAGCACTATACCGACCCTATTTTATGTGGTGCATCCCAGTACACCCTATCAATGTGGTACGCCCTTTGAACCTGTTGGTGCACCCTAGGGCTGACATGGGCAAACTACAACTCATGGTCCAAATTCGACCCATTTGGTAATATAATCTGGCCTGCCTGACGCTACCACAGGGGTGGGCAATTACTTTCCTGAGTGGGCCGGATGCGGATAATAGACTGGATTACTGGGCCGGATGATCAAAACTCAATATTATTAAAAACGGTTTAGGTTTATTTGCAAATTCGCAACTCGCAAGTCTATCAGTCATTAGTCAATCGCCTTCCCGTTTCACTAATCGCGTTTAAGTGATGTAAAGCATCAGGTATTTGCAGCAGGGGATATAGTAAATAACATTGGAATATTAGCGTTGAAAGAACATTGAAAATGTCATGAGAACAGACAGAATAATTTAAGTACTGTAAATCATGTACTAGACCAGTGATTCTCAAAACTGTTTTCGCCCCATACTGTACTTTTAACGTTATCATCGCCCCCAAAAACTACAACAAAACATCAAGTTACAAACAAATTTATTGCGAATCAATTATTAAGGAATAGCATGGTACCTGATGTTGTTAATAAGATGGAGGAATTTTAGTCAGGTACAATCTCAAATCATCATCATTATTTGATTTGACCCTTTTCTACCATCAAATATGATGTTAGAAATGAGAGAATCAACAATTTTACTTCGTCAAAAATGCCAGATGACTTGCCGCTACTATATTTTCAGTACATTTACAGGGGAAACGAGTCGTCGCGCTTACGACATTCATTAAAATTGCCGACTTAGTCACCGATGATGATTTTCTGTTGCGTAAAATATTCAGTTCATGGCCGATACAAGCATTAAAATTGTCTCGCGATATTAATTCAATTATTTTCAACGTAAATCGCCGTTGCGCCGAGTTACAATGAATGAAAATTTCACTATTCTGAAATAATACAATCTGAATTTTGGTTTAAGATAATTTTAGAATATCGCTGTTTGCAAAATCCCAATTTCTGAGTACAATTTAATACGATAAAGTAAAAGCATTATAACTCTAATGCAGTAAACTGGCGCCGCACAAACAAAATGTTTGAGAACCGCTGGACTAAGCAAAAGTTTCCGATTGAAAATTTCGAGATAATTTAGTTTACCGACATAATTTCGATGTTCTCGGCTTAAATACCCACGTCAGGAAAACAATCTGTGTTTTTAACTTAATTTTACTCACCGAGAATGCGCAATTGCCCCCTGTCGCCCCGTTTCTTATCTCTTTTGCCCCCGTTTTGGGAATCGTTGTACTAGACAAAAGAAAAGAACATATGTTGGGGCATTCACAAACGCACGAAACATTTGCAGGCCCAGACTTAATTGATTCGGATGGATGATTTTTGCACATCATATTCAGTTGCTTATAATACGCGATGAATTACTGTATTTACTTTAGCCGACGATCAGTTTCAATTTATATCATCGATATTTTTAACGAATATTTATATTCCTAAAAACTATGGTCATAATTTCAGCACGCACAAGTGGGCCGGATGAAACACTCCGGTGGGCCGGATCCGGCCCGCGGGCCGTAATTTGCCCACCCCTGCGCTACCACAACCAAACTAAAAACAAATTTTGATGTTTCAGTTAAAAATAGCTCAAGGTATTTGTTGGGATTGCAATTAAGTTTAGTTTTGGCACGAGATTTCCACTTTTGCTTTTTTAACACTGTAAATATTGTTCATAAAATGTAACTTTTAACATGACACTTACATGGCCCGCCAGTATAGGTGTGCAAAATTTTTGGCCCCTGGTCTGAAAACCTTGCCTATCCTTGCCTTAGGGCCTACTGTGAATAAAAAACATTGGTATAGTGGTAAGGCAGTATTCATACAGTATGCTTGGTTGGGACATGTATCGATTAAGAGCATGACTATTTTGAAAAGAAAGACAGGATAATTTCATGGTGTTAAACTTTTTTTCTTCTTACAGACAAACCTTATACAAGATGGAGCAGATGACATTGGAAGACGTCGAACTCGCAGTTGAACTATTTTATCTTCCGTACGAGCATGGAGGGATTGGTAGAAAGATGGTGGAAGATTTTATCTGGTTGCAACAAAATGTTCGGAAAGCAGTTGCTTCACCTAACGCTTCAAAATCAATGAAAAATGACACTGTGGATAAGGTCAGTGTTGCCAGGTTTTTTGCTTTTTGCTTAAAAATTAGCATAGGATTCAAATATTTATCTCGGGGATATTGCAGGAAATACGATAAGGCCGCTAAACTGTATGGCGAAGCACAGCCTCTTTTACAGTTACCAGTTCATGTCGGGTATGGGATTAGTTAGTTATTTGTTTTCAGACGCATTGACTTGATGGTGGAGTAAGTATTAACCGACCAGCGGTTAGGTAAACCACCCTACGGCAGCGAGGAGTCCAGCAATCCTCTCACACATAACTATCCCCGCTTTGGATTTGAACCTGCAAACCCACGTAGGTTAATTTAGAAGTGCTCCACACCGCCGAGCTGCCAGGTTTTCTATTCTTTTGGAGTTGTTTTCTTTAACAAGGCTCAGTATGAGCAGCTGCCCATGCATAATGAGCTATTATTTTGAGAAAGATCAGCATATTCCGCTTCGGCACAGCCTGATTTAATGCACCCTTCCACAGGGCTTGGACCTGAAAACCTCAAACTTCTATTTCCCATCGGAATTTTTAAATTACATTTCAAATAGTCAGGTCTAAGCTTTGATTTGTAAAGTTTTTTTTAAATTTAGCTCAAAACAAGAAATATAAGAATCAAGGATCATCGTCTCATAGCTGATTGTGCGGAGCGTTACTGCAAAACCCAATATAAAAATACAAAACTATTTTCTTAGGCTTTAGCATGGATGGAGCGGGCAATTCTCTTTGAAGACTATTGTGTGTCAATAAGAAGAATGTGCAACAGATTAACTTCGTGTTCAAATCGAGCTCTGCTTTATGATCTATTTCCTTATTTCTGGGACATGAAAGGAGTTGTATCTATGCTTAGTTCTTATGTTAAATGGATGGGTGAGTGATTTTACAGGGCTCAAAATTTCTTAATGTTTATATGGTTGTGATAGACTTGACAAGAGCGAACTATGGCCCGCGGGTTAAATTCGGCCCTTTGGGTAATTCAATCGGGTCCGCCTGATGCTGCCACAACCGAACTAAAACCAAATTTTGATGTTTTAGCTAAAAAAAATAGCTCAGAAAATTTGTTTAGATTGCGATTGAATTTAATCCTGACACAAGGCTTATTGTTTTCCACTTTTGCTTTTGTAACACTGTAAATATTGTTCATAAAAGGTAACTTTTACATCACACTTACATGGCTCGCCATTCTGAATGGGCAAAATTTAAGCCCTAAGTCCAGAAACCTTACCTTGCCCACCCCTGTATGACAGTAGAGGTATGCAATTCTATTCGATTCTACTTGAGTCCTCGAGTCGTTCAATATTTATTTGATTACGCAGTTGAATTATAAATAATTTGGGCACTCCCGAAGTATGTGCACCAAGATGGCGGGCACCGGAATGTAGTATGTGTACCATATTAGGGTTAGAATATAATTTCAGGTACAAATACTGCGGGAGTCACTTGGATAGTTCCCGAACTCGTAATAGAACTAATATAAGGAATAAAATCATGGCCCAACCCTAACCTGGTACACATACTACATTCTGGTGTCCGCCATCTTGATGCACATATTTCTGGAGCGCCATAATTCAATTATGCAACCAAATTCTATCACATCCATTTTTTTTTCTGCTTGTCACTAAATATTCATCATTTCTATCTTTCCAGGCCAATTTTACCTACGTCACCAAACTGCCAAATCATCAGAACCATCTGAAACCGGATCAAACATGTCTAAACCGGCTTCACCCGAACCATCATCGCCTACCATCTCTTCAACAACGAATCAACCAATTAATTCTAATCCTTTACCTCAATGTAAGTATGTATCTCAGTAAAACCAAATTAATGTTGCCACATTTTTGTTATAGTTTAGTTCAAACAGCCAAACCAAAAATGGACATAAGGCACTATACAAAATCAAAACTAAAACAGGTACAGCTTTAAAACTCAGACCAAACGATATTTCCTGGGTAATAATGACAAGTGATCTAAAATGTGCCATTAGCTTTTCTTAACTGCGGCAATTTGATTGGTGTGAGTTATGAGAAACAGGATAGGGTATGATATTAAATTTATCCCAAGGGATCTGGTCTGGTTACCAGTCCATGTTGGGTATGGGATTGGTTAGCTTGTTATTCGAATTAAATTTGTCGAAGCGCTGTGCATTCCAAATTTCCTGATCTTTGTCTTCGCTCACTTTCTGTTTATCTTAGTTTAGATCAAAATATGTTCGAAACTTTCTGTTTATCTTAGTTTAGAACAGAATATGTTCAAAAATATCTGGCCTGATTTATTCTATCATAAGTTCTAACTGTCCTTGTCTCTCTCAATTATCATATTATTTGAATATTTCAGTTCCTCCACCTCCTCCAGCTGTAGCTTGGTTGGGAATGGATCCAGAACCCTGGGTTTTCAGAGGAGGATTAGCAGGAGAATTCCAGGTAATTTATTTCCTATAAACCTGACCAATTTTACCAAAAAAACAATATTATTTTAATATTATTCAAAATTAGCTCCCATATTAAAACAAAGACATAATTTGAGAGTGCATATAGAGTAATGCAGGATGAAATTTGAAAAATAAATAAACAATTTCTGGTTGCTTGTTGTAGGTGATGCTTAATGATCTAACAAGAGTAATTTGAAACTAGAATTATTTGTTGTTTGCATACTTCCATGCCGACGAAGAGCATGCTGTTGACTTATTAAGATGTCCTTGATTGGGTTAGTTCCTAGCTTGGTTAGTCTTATGTTGATTTCAGATTTTATGTGGTGTACACTTTCGCTTTGAACAAGGATGTAGTCTCTGATATGTAACTCAATATTTACACCCTGGATGACATTATAGGCATTGGGTTTAAAACCAAAGATTTTCAACTTGCATAACTGACATTGGTTACTAACTTTTTTGTGATACATACTTTCCTTGCCCTATTTTGAAGCTCATCATTCTTCCTCCGCAATGCATGAAAAGGATGTTTTCAGTTAACATTCAGTCTTGAGAGCATCATTAGTTTGTGATATGCACACATAGGACCTCCTGACATTATGGTTCATGCTGGGCGTATAGTATAATTCAATGATACTAAACTAATAATATTAGTATTACAACATGCAAATACGAAGTGAACAAAAACATTTGGTTAACGAATCCACAGCCTTTTTTATTCAACTATTTCCTTTCTCCAGCGTCTTCTTCCTGTCACGATGGCCAATGATTTATTTTGTCAAGTCATTCCATGTTCGCCTCAGACTTCCACGTCAACTTATATCATCAGACCTTATTTACCTACAGATGAGGTGAGATGAGTCTGTTGAAACAACTATTTTATTTATAGAACATTTATTGGCGCTCCAGAAGTGCTTGTACCAATATAGAGGTAACTAATTTTGTTCGCCTACTTTACTTCAAGTAATGTAAAGGAACTGAATCCCATGGGCAGGGGGTATATTCACTTGGCTAACACAGACAATCCACGAACTCGTAATAGGTGAACTCGTAATACCTGAGTCTGTGTGGTTTGAATTTTGAGCAAATTCTCTCAAAGAAAACTTTCTCTTTCTCTAGAAATCGGTTTACAAGATATGTTTGACAACTGGGAATGATGGAACAGATTTCGCAGATGATTTCACTGGATATGAAGACTTGCCAGGAGAAAGGTAATGTGGTGTTAGTGTACAGACCAAAGACTGTTAACGCCTGTGCGCCCCCTGCTACTCTTCAAAGTGACTCAGTTTTGCTTTCAATTGTTTCCACCAGTTATTTTTTGTGATATGAATAAGATAAAATTAGGCGCCGCTGCTTAGTAACCAAATTTTATTTCCCGCGACTTCCCTCGCTCTGGAATATTTTTTCATTATTTATTTTCATAATTAACAAGAAGAAATATATTATGTTCAATGTTTTTTCACAAAGAGTACTCTTTGTTACATTTCTCCGTCTCTGATAATTATTATACGTACCTAAAGCCTAAATTTTCATGTTTCAGACTTGTTGGAGGACTCCTCACACTCAGTCCCGAGTATTGCTTCATTCTAGAAGATGAACAAGGAATATGTGGATACCTCGTGGCCACAGCAGATGCGAAAGCATTTTGGAAGAAATACTCCATCGCTTTTTCACCGGACGTCGGAGAAAAATATTCTTTACCAAAGGAAGATGTAAAAGAAGGGGAAACTGGGATCAAAATTGGGGAGGAAGTCAGGGTTAGAAAATTTTTTACTCAAAATTTCTGCTATCTATAATGAGAAGAAAATAACATAATTTACCACTTGACCATCACTTACGACCCCTGTGCCTTCAATGATACTGCTATTGTATTTGGGCAGACTTTCTGATAGTTGCTTTATATTTTTTCTTTTATTTTTTGAGTTTAATTCGATTTACATATTTTGAATTTGATTATATAAGCTTTATCTTAAGCCAGTTTATCTTTTAATAAGTATTTATGAATATTGGGGTTAGATCTTTATAGTAAAAATCAAACAACGCAATGGTCCTAATGTATATCTAAATAAACAGATGGTTCAGATTAGTTTGATGATTCCTACGACTTTTTAAATGCCCTCTCCTGCATTGGGATATTGGGATGCCATATATATGTATGGTCCGGTTCCATTACATTTGAACCCACGTACATTTGAACCCATGATAATTGCACCTGTATGCTATTGCACCTATGGAATTTTTTTTGTTTTTCGGATAGTTGAACCCATACTAACCCTAACCCATGGGTTTTATCACCTGCATATAGATTGAACCCGTGGATATACACATGGGTTCAAATGCACGGTCACCGTATGGTCCTAATAGTTGTTTGAATGCTCCCCACTGTATTGGGCTTCATTATGGCAATGAATCAAAATGAAAAGGTATTATAAATGCAACCGGTCTCACAGTATTCGTATCTTTGGCATGATAAGTTTCAGCTCCTAATGGTAAGAGGTAAACAATTTAATGAACCCAATGTATATCCAAACATACTATCACACTCATCAGTGGCATTGCAAATAAAAAGATGAAATGTGTATGCAACTGGATAAAAACTGTTATTTTTTTGTTATTTGTCTGAAACAGTGGTTTTCAATTTTTTTAATGAAGCGGAACTCAGAGTATTCGAATACTTTTTCGACTAATAATTCTGAATGATAGCCACTTTTTGCTTCATTCCTGCATTTGCCTATTTTGGAACTCTTAAATCCCCACTCACTATGCATAAAAGCTTTTTGTTCACCTTTTATCGGACTGTTACCTGTGATGTGCGTGGCTTGAATTTTAGTAATACTGCACTGAATTATAAAGTAAAATTACTTCCCCATAAATATCGAATTTAACAACTTTTTTGCGACACTCTTCTTTTTGTCCATCTCAAAACACCGCTCAGTTTGGAATTTATCAATTCTCCCTTACTACGCACAAAAACTCTGTTCCAGTTCACCTTTTATTAGATTTTTAGCTGTAATATCATGACTTGATTCTCAGTAATATTGCACAGAATTGTATAGTAAAATTTACTTCCCCATAAATACAGAATTTCCCCTTTGGTGAGGAATACCTCTCTGGCTGGGGAACACGACACTATCATGGTGCCTTACACCAATTTTATTGTTTTCAGAGACTTCTTGATGAGATCAGGAGTAAAGAACCACCTGATGCCTATGCTGTGGATAACTTGTACACTACACATCCTGCTTACATGCAGATTGCTGTCCATAGAAGAGTTTCTGATCCCAGCATCGCTAAAAGTATGACAGTATGTCTGCTCTCCGCACTCAAGTCTCATGGTAAGCTAGTCTTCATATATATTTTAGGCGTTCCAGAAGTGTGTGTACCAATATTGAGAGAACTAATTCTGTTCGCCTATTTTTCATCAAGTCGTGTAAAGGGACGGAAGGCTATGGGCAGGGGGTATATTCACTCGGGTAACACAGATAGTCCCCGAACTCGTAATCGAACTAAAATAGGGTAAATCGGAACAAAATTATGGCCTAACCCTAACCCGGTACACACACTACTCGAGTACCCAGTTTTATTATATGATGCATTTATAACAATTTTTCTCTGAACAAGACTCTGCAACAGCTAGGTTAGGAACTACTATAAATTGGAAGGACACTAGTCCTTCTTTCGATTCCGCCATTGTTTATCCAATTTATTACACTCTGGGTGAGGTGGTGGTCACATGATTTGAACCCGAAATTTTGATCTTCGATGCCATTGCGTTTCGTCTGACGCTTGAACTACCAGGCCACCGTACAATTTGTTCAGAATAGTGACAGACTGTGTATCGCTTGTTCTTCATTCCATGTTTTTTGAACTGCTAGAATCATTTGTGACTTGTGTCACAAAAATGAACAAGAGGAAAGTCAAGAGTTTACAGGGGAAAAGTAGAATCTCATACAACAGAATGCATATTTTACCAAGGCTTTGCTGAAGGATGGCCTAGTTACTGTTTCTATGAGGGCTCAAGCTTTCACTCTGAATAAGGCTTAGATCAGCAGCTACTGGTATATACATTGAGCTATGGTATATACTGAGAAGTACCCAAATCATTCCAATTATTGCAGTCCGAGTAAGGTGACAGTGGTCATGGAGGTTCGAATGTAACACCAGTCATGGAGGTTCGAATGTAACACCAGTTAGTTTAACAACAGGACGTCAAGTACAATGTTTCAAGTTTGTTTTATTTTCTTCTCTAGGGGTACATGGCGTTCACACGACCGTTCGATCCAGTGACTGTTACATGCCTGATCTGTATTGTCGTCTTGGTTTCCATGAGATACGACCTCTCGACCCTTCACCTGTGACCCCTGCACCTTCAACATACAAAGATGATACCGCTATTGTATTTGGGCGGACTTTCTGATAGTTAATTTATATTTGCTTTTTATTTTTTGAGTTTAATTTGACTTACACAATTTTAATTTGATCATATGGGCTTTATCTTGAGCCAGTTTATGTTAAATGGTCCCATTACATTTGAACCCATGACAATTGCACCTGCATACTATTGCACCTATGGATTTTTTTTGTTTTACGGATATTTGAACCCATACTAACCCTAACCCATGGGTTCTAGCACCCGCATATAGATTAAACCCGCGGATATACACATGGGTTCAAATGTACGTGGGTTCAAATGTACGGTCACCATGTTAAATATCAAGTGGTAGCTCACATTTTGCTCTGAACAAAGCCCTTTTTAATGAGCTAGGTTTTGAGACTATAGGGCAGTGGTTCTCAAACTTTTCCTTTTATAATTTGGCAGGTCTTGCGCCCCATATCAAAAATGCCCAGCTAACAATAAGCTACAAATAACAGAGGGTAAGATGAAAGTATGTTTTATTCAAAAAAAGAAAAGTTGAAAGTAAGTGGATAGAACGTAACTATCCAAAATAAAGGGGGCGAGATTAAATCTAACAAATATTCTTATTTAGCTTCATGCCCCCTCAAAAAATTGTCTACCTCCCCCTTGTGGTGCGCCCCATCGTTTGAGAACCATTGCTATAAAGAAATGTCTATGCACCAGACCTATAAGCTTCTTGGATTTAAAGAAAGTAGAAAGATTGTGTGTTATGGATTTCAAAACTAATACCAGAAGAAAATGTTCTAATCATACAGGAATGTAACACCCCATAAGATCTGTATAATAACTAAATATGAAACGAAGATACAATTAAAAAAAGGCCACTATTGCAAATGACCAATCGATTTTAATTTGTCATAAACTTTCATTGCCAGTGCCAGTAAAACATGATTTGTAAAATTTTGGACTTTGGGACTTGCTTTGACAGGAATGCTGATAAGCCCCTGTGAACCTCTGGCATTCGGTCATTCCTTGTCTTTCACAGACAGTAATTGAGTGTTGCAACAAGTGTGACTTTTATAACACTAGTAAGTATAACTATCAGTAGAGGTTACTCGAGACTAACTAACTCCCAATCCTTCCTCAATGCTTTTGCGCTAGTGGATTCGTATGCGTATAATGCAAAGATGTTGTAGCGGGAATAAACATGACTATTCTATCCAATCCAAGAGTCCTAAGGCTCACGAACACAAATGTATTTCTGTAATGTCTCAATTGACCAAAATCTGACTTCCTCAGACAAGCAGCTGCATGATGAAGTCTGATTTTTGTGAGATGAAATGTTATTGGGTATGTAGAAAGACATTTGTGTTAGTCTGCGGCGTGACTCTTGAATCTCATAGAAAGCCATAGACTAAAAAGATTTCACATTTGAACTTTGATGAATGCAAAGGTGATCAGCCATTTTGTGATATCTCTTAAATTTAATTAGCCTACACAGAATTGGAGAGTAGTAACGATACAGTAGCCCAGTGGTTCTCAAACTTTTTGAACCACACCCTCTTTTAGGATTTTTCAAGTCTCGCCTCCCAACTCAAGAATAACTAGCTAACAATGAGCTACAAGTAGTTAGGCCTTACAGACAGATCTCTAAACAGTAAAGAAGTGTGAATATCCAAAATGAGGCGGCCAAGATCAAATTTAACAGGGGTTATCATTTTTAATCAGCCTCGTGTCCCCTCAAAAAAGTGTCTATGCCCCCAACGTTTGAGAACCACTGCATTAGCCTAATTGGTATATTGACTTGAGTTATGATTTTGCAATGAATTGAATGATAATTCCTGGTGATCTTTTTTTGCTTTTGCAATTTTTATTATCTTTGTTCCTTTACCATTTGCTTCAAGTAAAATTTGCAGTAATTTTATTCGTTTGTGATGTTTTGTAGAATGTTCGTGCAGAAACACCATTGTTCGCAGTGCTCTGCTTTACTGTACCTGGCTTGTTTATAAAGATCTTTTTACTGATCTATATTTTGAAATTCTCATGCCAGATTTCAATGGGTCAATCTGTTTATATAGCGAGCATTGGACAACATTGTGCTAATAGTTCGCTGAGAATTTGATATTTAAAAATTTTGCAAGAATATTGACTTGGCTGAGTCAAACTTGAGTGATACTTTTCAATGACTCGAAATGGCTTGGGTCACCTAAAACAATGGCTTGAAATTGGGCTCTGCAAACCACCATACAGACTTGACTCAAGACTCAAAGATCATTTTGGACGAATGTATAAAAACTTTTGGATCGGGGCAACGAAAACAACTTAGGTATCAGGACATTGAAATTCATACCAAGGTGGCCAATAATTGTTGGCTTTTTGATTTTTCGATTATTTGTGATAGTAGCATTTAACCACAAGGTATTTGGTATTACCTAAAAATCTTTCTCCATATTTATTCATTCAACTAGAATACCACATGGAAAATCTTGAGTGAAAGGTGTACATGCAAATACGGTGCTTAAATGTGTCGATGGTCGTTAATAGTAGGCTATGTTATGATTTTGGCAAGCTTGTACTGTTATGTGTACTCAACCATATTGTTTAATAATTCACTGAGAATTTGAAATGTTAATGATGACCACCATGGGTTTTTGCTTTGGATTTTGTAACTTCAGTGGTATTGTTGTTAATGCTAATGTTCAATCTCTGTGCTTCTCAAGCTTCTCATTCCTGAAGTCTTGTTCAAAAACCTACGTTTTGTAACTGATTTTTGTTTGCTCCATGTTCCTATGTCTTCTTCTATTTTTCTACAATGATATTTTACTGCAATTTGTGTTCATGGTTCTATACTTTGTCAAAAATATATAAATATATCTATTACTGCGGTAAAACACCAATAAAATCATCTGCAAATCGAACAGTGTATGTTCTGGTATCTCTGGTTTTTCTTTAAAGATGTTGATCTAAGCTGTTTGAGTTGTTATCATAATAATTAGTAATAATAATAATTGGCGATTGTACAAAGAACACTTAGGTGCATCAGTGCAGTTGAGGACTGGCAAACTTGGGGTGTTCCATATGTTAGGTATTAATGCTTTTTTAAATAGGGCTACATTGTAGTGTGGTTAAGGTGTGAGTGACCAACAGTTAGGCGCCCTGTAACATGACGAAAGCCGTGTTGAAGTATTCTATATAGACTAATTCACGTTTTTTCGCCGTAAAGAAAAGTGTACTAGACATATAAATGTATGTTAAAATGGTAAAATACTACGCTAAACTGCGATAAAATGGCGGACTATACAACAGTCCGTTGTGCACTGAATTTCGGTGGTTCCAATCAATATTTTATTTACTCCTGTTATCAGTAGAGTCTATATTTCGAAACGCGATTATTATCAGTGTACGTTCTTGATAAAATCTCAAGTAAGCGAGTGAGGAAACGGCCGAAAACTGATAAAGATGGCGGCCGATCGTCTCCGCCATTTTGTTACACTGGGTCCACCCGCCTGTTTGGATAATGATTCATTTTCTGTCTTACTTGGCAATGCGTCACGACAAAAATAAAGTTCCTACTTCTTTATCAATCTATACCGTTACCACCACGGGCACAACGTCATTTATATCTAATGCGGAACGTTTTACACTTCTGTAAAATGGCAGGCAAAGTGATTTGATGTTTACTTTCTGAAACTCAAGACAACTAGGCTATATATTTAAAGGAAACAAGGTAAGTGCATTCACTAATTTTGAATATGAAACAAGTAGGGTTTGGTGATGACTTCTGTAGCTTAGAAATGTGTTGTTGATGTGCTTGGGAGTTGGCTGTAAATGCAGAAATGGCATGTCTGCATGTCAATAACTAGGCCTACTGAATTTCAGAGCTTAGTCTACACTGATGGTCTGAATCATGAATTTACATATTTATTTTAAATAAAAATCGGGTAAAATAACTTAATTTACCGACGGGCCATGGCCCCACATAGTCAGTATGTTTACTAGTCAAGTCAGAAATGGATAAATGACTGAATGATCAACCAACCCAGCATTTCAGATTCGTAAATATAGTTCAGTGTTTGTGAAGAAAGCCCCGCTACCTAATATATAAACACGATCATTGTAGATATATTCAGATATGTGCAACCACAATTTTTATTCCTGCAGAATTTGAACCGGTATCAAGTTATAAAAAATAGATTTAGAATAATTCCATTCAAGGGGAATTAACACTGAAATAGCTACATGAGGGACCTAGCGCAATGACCAACGTTACTATTTTAAGTGATTTGATGGCTATTTTTAGGTGACATCTCCTTGGCATTCAAGTATTTAACCTGGTTGATTTATATTTCTAAGTAGGAATGAAAAAATGTGGACTCTCAAAGTGGAAAACTCAACCGTGAATGTGTCGCTGATGACGGAGTTCAAAAACATTAAATAATTTTTTCAGTTCTTTGGTGAGTTTTTTAAATTGTCTGTTTTCAAATATGTGTATAGACAGTACCATTTTAATATTAGTGTCACTCGAGAGAATGCTTATGACCCAGTTTACATATTGACCTGCCACACTATAAATATGAATAAATAGAAAGGCAGTTTGTCCCATGACTCTCCATCAGATTTGAAAGAGGCTTGCATGGAGGAACGTATGGTTAAGCCCACCAATATATATTACGAATATGTTCAATTATATACTAGTATTAGGAAGTCACCTGTTTCCTGTTCCATGTATTTCATATTCTGGTTTTCTGGCCTTCTTAAAGATTAACAGAATTCTATGTTTTTAGAGCAATGGAAACAAACAATTATAACCTGTGTCAAGTCAATGCTTCCGAAAACAAATAACTAACTAATCCCATACTTAACATGAACTGGTAACCGAACCAAAGGCCGTGGTTCGCCATCTGATTAAGCTGTCTTATCGGTTTTTCTCTCCCCAGGGATAAATATCTAAATCCTATCCTAATTGACTGTATTAGACTATGAACTAATCTTTAATATTCCAGCATCATTGTTTTGAAATTTTTATCAAATACATTTTTAACGTGGGGCAACATACTGACAAGGCATTCAACCAAAAACTTACTGCAGTAAGGCACTAATTTTATGTCTATTATCAAAACCTAGATGTGTTATTTTGTTGTATAATGAATGCTTCTTATTTCTCAGGTCTAAAGACACTGACTTTTCAATTTGTTTATCAGAAAGATTGAATTGATCAAGTTTCTAAGAGGTGGAATAGACCAGACGATGAGGAACAGACAGATCTTCTCTTCAGTTTATGTTTTGTGATGTTTGGTTCATTTTTTTACAATAACATGCTTTTTTCGTGGAGGATTTTGCTCCGAGTAAATCTTGAGCACCTGCTTTAAAATGGAAGGAGACTCATCTCTAAGTAAAGTCACATGTGCCAATCTTGCTCATAACACCTTCAATGTAAGAGCTATAAACAACCACTACCATGTTAAGAGCTATATAGATTCATGGCTGATATAGAGGAAATTCTACGCATAATTTTATATACTGTCTATTCCGTGCATTCTTTACGTAAAATATGGAAAAGTGGTTCTTTATTTGCAGCGAGAGCATATTGACATTTATTGCAATACAAACTGGTTGCAATCCTTACAAAATTGCAATATTGTATGGAGTCCATGGCCACATTTGGCAATTCTTGCCTTCAAAATCCACCACCAACGCAACTCAATTTTACCCATGGTTGAGAAGTCCTTAGTTCAAACTGTTCTGAAAAATTTGGGGGATTCTGACTTAGCATAGCTTTTACTGTGGGATGTGGCAGTAGGCAAGGGTTGATTGGAATTGTATGAAACTGAAACAGAGTCTTTAATCTAGGATTCTAATCATGATTACTAATGCTAGGTCATTGTTAACTTTTTTGAACATGAAGTTAGTATTCAGCTCAGGGTTTCACATGATGGCTCGGCGGTGTGGCGAATCGTGCTGAGCGTTAGGAAACCCTCGCTGAGTAGGAGACGATTGCTGGACCTCATGAACCATCCGTTGGGTGGTTCACGTAACTGCTGGTCTGTTATGGCTTCCTCCACCATCAAGTCCATGCATATGAAACAGATAATTGGCTAACTAATCCTATACCCATCATGGACTGGTAACCAGACAAAAGAATTTTTTCATAAGAATTTGCTTCGACCAAAATCGCAGACTCATTTAGAAATGAATAAAACTTATTATCAAGTCATAAATAATCGCTGGAATGTCCGTAGCGACTTGGAAACAATCAAAAACTTTGGGTGTGAATTGTCAAAAGTGTTCCATGTCAGTATTGTCAAGAAAGCTGATCATGAGTGATGAATTCTACATAAATGACTTGGTGGTAGGTTATTTGATTTGGAGATTCACTGATGATTACGAGATATCACACCTAATCAACTCTCACTGCTGGAACTTTTCTTAATGAGACAGGTTCAGAGGTACACAGTTCGATACTCCCGTAGTGTGTGTACTTGGTTAGGCCATAATTTTATTCCGATTTTCCTTATTTTAGTTCTATTACGAGTTCTAGGACTGTCTGTGTTAGCCAAGTGAATATACCCCCTGCCCATAGGTTTCAGTCCTTTTACACAACTTGACATAAAGTAAGTGAACAAAATAAGTTACCTCCATATTGGTACACACACTTTTGAAGCGTCCACAGTTCGATATATACATGGACAACAACTGACTTTTCAAATGAATGTGAAGATTTTCAGATGGAGAGGCCAAGGCGAAGCGACTATGAAACAGCTATCAGAGTAAAATATAAAGAAACCTAATTCCAAGCAAAACTTAACTTATGTGATGTACGCTAATTCACATATCTATCATTCTGCTGTTGATGAGTAATTGTGAGAACAATGAATCAAGTTTCAGTAGTGATACAGTGCATTTGGTGATGTATTTTCATTCAAAATCTTAGTGGCATTCAGAAACACTTTTTCTTGAGTCTTGCAGTTCAGCAATCTTCTACATCAGTGGTTTGCAACTATGAATCTGAGTTAATCAACAGCTGTTGGGATTCTAGTTTATCAAATTGGCTGTTTATCTCTAAAGTCACATGTTAGAAATATTGAAGATATGCTTTGATATTGTCCCATCAAACTGGGTGTGATTATTCTCAAAAGTACGAAATATTTGGTGCTCAAATCTCCATATGTTTAGATGGCTGCTTGCTTGTGTTCAAGATGAATTTGTTCTTTCAAAAAAGCTGAACTAGCGCTTTCCCAAATTTCTAGTGTTTCTTCATTCTCTTAACTGCTAAGACTTGATATGATAACATACTTCATGAGGAAATGTACAATTTTGTTTCTCATATTGGCATTATGTTCAGCTTACTAGTAGGTGGTAGTGTTTGAGTAATCTTTCATTTTTTTTTCTATTTTCGACTAAAATAAGTTTACGAATGTGTCCTCATAATTGGATTTTAATCCTGTAAATTATGGATCCCAAACTGTGGTGTTCCTATGCAATCTCCCATAACCAATTGAATTAAGAAAATCCTAGTTTTGGATTTGTCCAGAGTGAGATGTCTGTGTCTTAGATTCGGAAAGCAAAAAGTGAGGCGCTTCAGATGTACGTGTACCAACATGGAGGTGACTAATTTTGTTCACCTATTTTACATCAAGTTGTGTACAGGGACTGATTACTATGGGCAGGGGATATTCACTTGTCTAACACAGACAGTCCCCAAACTTATAATAGAACGTAAATAAAGAAAATTGGAATAAAACTATGGCCTAACTTAGTACACATACTATGGAAGTACCAAAAGTGGTGTATTAAATTGTGATGTGTGGTATTGTTTGGTTTGATGTTTACGGGAACATGGTTTGTTGTATTGGGCATTTGACTTCAAGATATGTCAGATTGATTTTAGTATGGTAAGACATAACCACCAGCTCATCAGAGCTCTGGAATCTAAGTTTGAAGTGTTTTCACATTAGTCGTGTTTCCAAACTACCCAGAGTCAAAATTTTGAATTTGTTAAAGTCTGAATTTATACTTGCAGTGGCGATGAAAGTCAAAATTTGATTTTCTCAAGAGTTTGGAGTCCGGGTCTTAACCCGAATTCAGTTGCTATTTTCCTATGACTACTGCTTCTACCACTAGAGGTCATAAAAGTGCCTTATCGGGGTTAAGTGCTTATTCTACATTCCTTGCCCCCATAGATACTATCACTAGGATGTTTAAACAAGTATTAGCCAGAAAAGTCTGACCGCCCCTGAGCTATTCGAAAACCACTAACAGGCTCCAAGATCCAGAGAGCCATAGTCAGATTTTGAACCCAGCCCTAGCCAAAATTTGTGATTGGTAAAGTAAAACATTTCAGAGTCAGAAGTCCGTATTTTTGAATTCTTCATGCAAGTTTCCAATTTTGGGATGAAATGGAACTGTTCTTGAATGCAGACCCTAAATCTATCTAACATCATTCGAAGAAAACATCCATAAGTGCATGCAAATTTTAGATATTTCATTTTACAAGTCACAAAACTTGCAATTGTGTATGCTGAATCCTACAGGCTTGGCTCAACATTACAGCACTGCTGGCTATTGTAGTGGTGTTACCAATACACCATTAAGTGATCGGTGATGCATGAAATAGCAGCATCAGTACTGCAATGTTGAAATTGGATTATTTCGACTACTCTCATTGTTTTCTGATGGTAAGAAGTCTAATTGATATTAAGAATTGCGTGGAAACTGGCATCTCATCTTGCTAGTTTCATTCGTTATTCTTCCTTTTTGGTAATTTAAATACCTTTTTTAAAATGATATCAGTGGCTGAAATTTATAATTTCTCATTTCAGTCGCTAATATGGTTATTCAGTTTGAACATAAATTTGGGAAAATGGTAAAGAATTACAAACTATCATTCCATCTCGTATCTCTACAGATTCTGGGACATAGCCAGGAAGATGGGGTCTGAAATTTCTAATTGCCAAGTTAGACCACAACAGCTAGCGGCGGCTGTGGGTTTTCAAGTGTCGTGAGGGTCTAAAAAGCATTTCAAGCTACGAAAGATTGCTATGTATGATACAGAAAAATGCTTTTTTACATTTCAAAAGAAGGAGGTTTCGATCACCACGCCCTCCCACCCCTTGGCTATGCTATGCCCCTAGGTCTCACTTTATAACATGGGGCCAGCTGCATATTAATATTTGATCTTGTATTATATGCAACTGAAATATTGGTTGCAAAAAAATAGAACTGTGCTTTTTTGTTCATTGCACTGACAAAGAGTGATCTAATTCATTTCCAGCTTTCAATTTTCTCTGGTTAGGTTGAGCAGTTGAAGCCGAATCATCTTAAAGTCCGAATCAGACTGTAATTGTCTCTTAAGTTATATTTACTGCATGCTGCAGGATGTGTACAACCCGCAACAAACGAAAGGCATCCATAATACTTGATTTTGTTACTATTTTACAGTATTGTATAAGCATAACATAAAATAATGGCGTTTGGTAATGATCGGAGAGAACTTCGAAAAGGAGAGAAGTTTGTGGTGACAATTGATGAAGTTGTACATAACACAATCCTGGTCTTCCTTGAATACAGAAAAGCTAAATTCTGTGGAGCATTGCTTAATACCTCCAACAGGTAATCAAAAGTTTTGGAGATTCATTGTTATGAGTTGCTATAAATTTCCACTTTTATTTCTTTTTCAAAAGTTATATTGACATAAGTTTTGGCCAAAATTGAACATTAACTGAATTCCTAATACATTGAAAGAAAACTTTTGAATAAAAAATATTGAATATACTTGTATTTGGACATAGAAATTTTAAGAGTTCTTTCTCATAATTGAAGCCTGACCTAATGTATTGATCAACTTAAACACTATTCAGTTTCACGGAAGTAAGTTTCAGAGCTGGACACATTTCACACTTTCAGGTCTTCAAAAATTCAAACATTGATTTTACTAAGTGTTCTGTCAAGTCTGTCATAGGAGGCTTGCATAGGGCAATGTTTTTAGTATTGAAATTTGATTTTCGCCAAATTTTTTATGACCCAGAGTTGAAATCCAATTTATTTAACCCCAAGTAGGAATCAAAAATTTTTTCAACCTGGTGTCCATTGCTGATGCCTAGGTGTCTGTTGGTTCAATTGTTTTTTATTTCATTTTCAGACGTGGACCTTATGGCATCGAAGAACGTCCAGATAACACTTATTATCGGGCGTATGGCATTGATCCAAAAAAGTTAAAAGAGGATGAAATAGAGCGGGAAAAAATGGTTGCCCAGCAACAAGTTCGTTTACCACAAACTCTTGATATTCGAACAACATACGCGCAAAAAATTGAATTGCCACCGGCTCGGCAAATATACATGAGACGACGACGCTCGAAAAGAAAAGTCAGAATGGACATGATCAACACTGATTTAGCTCTGAAAATTGTCACTTCAAATTCTGGACGAAAACTTCTTTCTCATCCTTCCACATGTTGTTGTGACACTTGTGCATCTGGTGGACTCATGAAATTATCAGATGAGAAAAAAGCTATTAAAGGTCTGTTTGATTGATCGGTAGCCTGATGGTTAGAGTAGTGGTTCCCAGCCTTTTATGGCTCCTGCCCCCTTCCGGAGGCTTTGAGCACTCATGGCCTTTCTGTTTATCATTCCAGTGGTATTAATAGTGTCATTTATCATTCGAGTTATATTATAGTGTTATTTTGACTGGTAGATTTCAAATTATATTTATTATGGCTTATTATATTTATGGAATAACCTTATTAAGTAATGAAACTAGGAAAATGGGGAGTTTTCTTGTAGAGTGATAAGTAAAATCAGTAAACAGACGAGTAAAATGTTGGATTCAAATACTGAAAACTGGGTAGACGATGTCAAAACGAATGCCAATCCATAAAAAGTAGTTGATTATTATGTGTAAGTAGATGATTGGGAAAAACTATATAGAGTGATTGGAAAAGCTGTTGAAAATACCCTTTTTTAGGACTTATTGTTTGTCCCGGAGAGATATACCCAAACCCAATCAAAAACACATTAATTATATGATTAAACGACAGACCAAGCCAAGACTTCATTTTCAACAAGCTATTTTCTATCTTGCAGGCAAAAGAAAACTAATCGCTGATGGACGGAAAGAAACGGGTTCAAAACAAGAGAAAAACGATATGGCTGGTTTCAAACCGCTTTCAAAACAGGCAAAAAGAATTAAACTCGATAAAGCATCTGTGAAAACAAATAATTCAAAAGTTTCTTCCAAAGACAATGGCTCTAAAGATTCAGCAAAAACAGGGTCAACTTCGGAACCAATAAAACGAAGCCCTGTGATAAAAATTTCCTACAAATCGCCAGGGGGCAAAGGTCGAATCTTAAAAATACCTTCACGACTTCACTCCCCAACTCCCAATTCAAATGATGCCGTTACTAAGCGGAATGCAATGCATGAACGAGCAAGGAAAGTTGTTAACAGGGCTAAAAGTGAACATTTTAAATATTTACAAGAACATAAAGGAGACACAGACAATAAATTTATTGCTCCAACAAAGGCGACAGCCAAACCGAAAGGATTATCAAAACGATCATCAACGAAACAAACAATTTTATCTCTGGATAAAAATGAAGCAAGCAAAGAGAAACCAAATTTTCTTCATGTATCTGATACATCAGCGTTTACCTCAGTCGAAAGCCCAAACCAGCAACGTAAAACTACAAAAAATTCACCTCGAAAAAACACTGAAGCGCAACAAATAAAAGACGATGCAGCCAAAACTTTTAATGGGAAAAAAGAATCGCCTAATACAATACGGCGAAGACATGTGCGGTCTTTACACCCACATGTTTTACTTCAACCAATATCGGCCAGAAAATCTGAAGACAGCCTTTCAACGCTTTCGAATTCAACGAAGGCAACTGTACCATCTCAGCTTGCTGTAAAGTTCAAACAGAACATTCCAAAAGAGGAAAGTTCAGAAGCAGAAGATGCATCAGCTTCCGTAAACGCCGTTGGAACTTCATCGCATAGAAAAAAAACTCCTACTAGTGTTCAAGCATCACACTCGATTTCCGTCACACGGTGTACCACGAGAGCAGGTGTAAAATGGTGCCAAGGTGATGTAGTTTGGGGGAAAATTATGGGGTTTCCTTGGTGGCCAGGTATTTTGAAGAAAATTGTCATCAAAAATGCGGAATCAAAGATAGAACAAATTGCCATTGTGGACTGGTTCCAGAGCAAAACGGTTTCTCATATTCCGTGCACAGAACTTGAATCTTTTTCAGAAAGTTTTGATAGAAGGTAGTATCAATTTTATGGCTAGATACAGCAAAGTAGCTAAATATAGAATTTTAAAGTATTTTCATTGGGAAACTTGTAATTTTAATCGCATAGAACTAGGGTGTGCTGTGCAACTGGAGGGCCAGTTACAAATAGGTGAAACCGCGGGCCGCACCTTCATTCAACATATGCTTTCTAGCAGTTATAGGCGCAAACATTTTGGTTATTGATCTCATGACAAGCGTTGTTAGCATTGCCCAAGCTAGCTTTTAGGGCATTGTAACCTCATAGGCATAGATAATAAATTGGACTCGGGTATAGGTAATGCAAAGGAATTAGAATTACTCGAACGTACCAGATTAAACTAAATTGAAATCTCGCTTTGAAGGCTGCGCACCATCCAAAATTGGCACTTCTCAGCGGGCCACACACCTCTGGTATAGAACACTAATCCTGTGAATATGCCCCCTGCCCATAGGTTTCAGTCCCTTTACACAACTTGATGTAAAGTCGGCGAACAAAATTAGTCACCCCCATATCATTACACACACTTCTGGAGCGCTCATTATTTAACTCTTTAAGATTTAGTCATTTTGATCATTGACTCATCTGGAATAACCTCATAAAAAAAAAATTTCCTTTCAGATTTGTTCGCAAACGTAAAGGAAAATACCGAAAAGCAATCCAAGATGCTCGAGAAGCAGAGAAAGAAATGTCGCCTGAAGTTAGAAAGTTAATCATGCAGTTTGAGACTTAAATTATCCAAGATTTTGATTCATTTTTAATATTATTTCTGTGTTGAAATGCAGCTGACTCAACAGATTACTGACGGAACGCAATAGCATAGTTGAAATTAGGAAGCCCGCTGCCCAGGAAGAGTTTACTTTGACCACTGAGATTCATTTGATTAGTTTTTAACTTCGAATAAATTCGTCGTTATACGCAGATAAACCAGCTTGATAGCAAATTTGATTCAGTCCATATATCTATCTAAGACAGTTGTTTCCAACCTTTTATGGCTCCTGGCCCTCTTCGAAAGTTTTTAACACTCATGGCCCCCTGTTTATCATTCCATTGCTGTTTGTAGTAATATTTGGATTGGTGTGTTCGAAATCCCATTATGTTCAAACAATTCATGCCCAACAGCCTGAAAACACCCTGTTAAACCTTATAATGCGATGTGGCCGGGAAGAAGGAAAGTTTTCTCGCCAAGGGAAAAGATAACATCAGTTTTGCACCTAGCATTGTGCCCCCCTCCAACCACGCTGTGGCCCTCTTGGGGGCCATGAGCCCCTGGTTGGGAACTGCTGATTTGAGACGAGTGAATTTATTGTATAAAAAGAATAACTGGATTTAAATTGTGACTCCAATCCTGTTAGTATGTGAATGAAACTTGTTGTATTAGCAAGTTTGATGACAGTTTATATCTTATTAAAATAAGTTTACAGGATCAAAATTGTCATGTATATTCCAAGGAAGGGCAATCACTTTTCTGAGTGGGCCAGTTACAGATAATAGACTCAGTTACTGAGCCAAAGGCTCAAAACTCAATATGAAAAACTATGAAAAAAAAATAATTTATTTACATCAGCTAGTCCAACAGCTAAGCTAACATTTGTATTATAATAAGAAGAATAATGTAGCAATCAGGGTCATTATGCTGGTATTTTCATCAGTATTTTTTACATTCATAAAAACTATAGTCATAATTTTAGCATACAAGTGGGCCTGCGGGCCATTATTAGTCTACTCCTGGTCTATTCCTTGATTTTGACTTTTCTCTCAGAAGACCAAATTGCTATTGGTATATGCTTTTTCTTTTAACCTTATGTTTGTAAATGACTATTGTTAGAGTCAACGTACTATGAATTGCAGGTTTTCATCATGTGTTGCTTTGTTTACCACATGAAAAATTGTAAATTTGGTATTAAATTTGATAGTTGCTACGTAACTTGAAATATAGCAAGCTAACCTACTTGTCTGTCTTGGTACGCGATTGTCTAGAGTTGGTCTTTCCAACACAAAACTATGCTCACGAAGTAATTCATTTACCATTGGCAGTCTTTTACTGTTGTCAAATAATAATTTTGCAAGAAAATTTACTCCCAAAATTATTCTGCCATGAAAGTCTTCAAAATAATTCTAATTCCCACAAATGATTATTCTCAAATTGTTGCTTACATATTTTGGAGAAAAGTCGACCTTGCATGTGAATATTTGTTTAAATTTCTTTCAAGTGGCAATAAAAGCATGTTAAAATTCTAACATATTGCTTCACTTTTGAAAACGTCTTCGTGGGTATGTCTAGAAAATTTCGTTTCAGCTGAATTTTGAATCAATGCTCTTTGAATGGGTCCATATCTAGATTTCAGTTCATTTAAATTCCTGTTTTTGGCATAACTATAGTGGGTATGATTTTGATTACCGGTAAGTATGATTTTGGTATGCACAATATCTTGTCGCAAAATGAGCCTAATGTACAGGGGGTCCATAATGTACTTTTACAATTTCGTTATGAAGTCGGTTCTCAATATATCTTAACCAGATTTTGTTGTTTCTTAATCAGCAGTTGTTTATTACCTCATTCAATGCATTTTTGAGGGCCAAAACAATATATGGACAAACTCCTCCCTTTGCAATTTTGACAAATTTCAAGACTTTGTGGACACCCCATATATAATTTAAGATTTATTCAATGAAAGAACTATTCAGACATTGGCATCCCTATCATTTGGTTCACTATTCTCCTTCAATCATAAACCAGTTTATTCCATGAAGCTGCATGTTTCAGTTCAATTTGCTGCTCCAGTGTAAAGTAGTGAATTTTATGTTGCCAGTAATTGAATGTCTTATTCTTTTTATGGAATGTTTTGACATTCTTATTTCTTGCTACAATATGACTATAAATTATTGATGTTCAACTTTTTAAAATTGTGTTAATCACTTTTAATTTGAAAGCGAAAAGCATCTGGTTACCTATTCCCATACCCCCCTACCTTGGATATGTAGAGCCTGAGGTTCACAATATGAATATCCCTCATGATAAACATTATTTTATAATATTTCAAAACCTCCACTCGCTGCTACAAAACGACTTTCAAAGATAGTGCTCAGCCTTTTTTTAAATTGTATTGTCACTTTTAATTTGATAGCAGGAATGGCGTTCACATGACGTAAAGCATCTGTAGGGTGGTAACCAGGCAAGATGGTGTGGTTTGTCCTATGAACGAATCCCTTGTAATGAACCTGAGTTGTTTTTCAAGTTGGAATTGGCCAACCATAATTGCTCATGAAGTCATTTTTGCTTCAACACTTGCACTAATATTATGGTCACTCAAGAGTGAAGAATAATATTAATTTAATTTATTAAACTCTCACTAATAGTTGTCCTAACTTCGAAGACTATGATCAGGCGACTAGTGACTATGATTAAGGTTGTATCACTCATAATAAATGTGCACAAGTCCTTGCATATGTGATATGGTGCACATAATTTTATTATGTTATGTGAAGTATCGTTGTTAAGATTCTCACTGTTTTCCTTGTTTCATTTCTGCTCAGTTTATTTCAATTTCTATCATTTTCAAACTTATTAAAAGCATCCGGAAAGATCTATTGTCATGGTTTGAAAGTAGTGATCAGGATGGGCCGCGATCTACTGGTTTCTTTTGTCTCGAGACGCTGGGTTTTAAAAAATTTGACTTACGACTCTTGACAGCTCTGATCACTGAGCGCATATGCAATCATCCTTTTTTAAGAGACTGTATGAGAACAAAAAACCATGTGTCTGGGCTTTGGGTGTCATTCCGACCCCAGGAAGTACGGTATGTAGAGGCCTTGTTAGCCTGGCGCCTCAAAAAATAGTATGTCGTTCACTTAGTATGTCGTCCCACTGGATTGGGTTAGGTGAACTTTTCAGAGATCCGTATCAGCCCACATATCAATGCAAATTAAAATTCTTCAGCGAACACGAATCTTCATATAACTATCTTGGAAATTGGTATAGGTAACTGGCTAGTGCAAATTTAAAATCACTCAAACGGATTGGATTTTCATATGGGGGGAATAAAGCAGATAATTCTGGGCATATAGCAAACCACAACTTCACATCCAGTTCACGCTAGTGTATTGTGGTAAGTCAGGGGTGGGCAACTTCTCTAGTCGGCGGGCCGGATGTGGGAAAATGAAGTCCTCGGTGGGACGGATTATAACATGAATAGTATTCAATATCTTAATCTCATATTCATTCGCTAATGCAAGAAAGAAAATTATAAATCGCGTTTGAAGGAAGGTTTAAACTTTACAATAAAAAGGGGCCAAAAAACACATAATGAATTTAATAAAAGTGCAATATTATAATATCATAATGTACTGATGTACAGTCAGCTGGCCGATCAAAATCTCGTCGCGGGCCGGGTCTTATGTTGCCCACCCCTGTGGTAAGTGGATGAAATAGGAAGATTCTTAAATGTGTCCATAGCAGAGGATGGTCTCTTTTACATCAGACTTACCAGTCCTATTTCAATTGTATGGATCTTAATTTACATAAATGATCTAAGACTCTAACCATCTGCCAAGACATTATACTTTTACCCATCCTTATACTAGTATACAGAATGTGGAATGAACCCCACTTCATATGCTCCTTTCAACTATTTTCCCCACAATAGATTTGGTCCTAAAATCAAAAAAACCACCTCGCCATATGTATGTGCTTGGGGTGTGTTGAAACTGCACCGGGCGTGAACCAGCAATGTTTTTTTTAATATAATCGTTTCTCATTGGGCTCAAACCCTGTGCGTGTTGGTGCATAATCAGCATGAAGTGCTCCAAATTAGAGATGTACCGATACCACTTTTGTCGCCGATACCGATACCGATCCGATACCAGCTAAAAACGCCGATACCGATACCGATACGCCGATACTACAAAAAGGCCGATATTACCGATATTCCGATACCGATACTATGTAATTATTACTTAATTAGGTATGCTGTGTAGGGCAGACGGGTTAAACAATGGTCTTTAAGCGTTGTTCATAGTACACATTATTTCAGATCGAAAAAAAAGATATATCACATAATATGAAATTATTGTTTGGTATCCATATACTGTAACTGATTAAGATACATTGTACAGTAACGATAGTAATCTCGGTGTTCAATTAGAAAACTCATAAGCCGCGATGTCCAATTTGAATTTAATGTTAATATCGCGAGCTTCGAATATCGCTATTCGTGTTTATAAGAATATCGAATATCACCCACACATTCTAGCGCCGCCGTCCTACGTTCAAATTAAAAGCATTTTACAAATATTTAATTTAGTGGCTAATCGTAATCGTCGAAGCAATAAGTCAAAGCCAACATGAAAGAATATCAATCAGCACCGACAAAAAGAAGGCCCACCGATAACCGTTGAGGATGTTTTTTCATTTCACTATTTTATAATATTTTACAATTGCTATCATATATTTTGAGACAGTCTAGGGCTAGTCGGTCAAGTCAATATATCTATAAAGAAATCGTCTAGTTAAGCAGAATTAAAATTAATACCTGTGTAGTGGGATAATTGTGTCGGAATTTAGTTTATCGATGTCGACGGACTAAATGACACTCGTACTTGACGACAAACAGTAGGAATTTATACTCGCGCCAAAAGTCCATGTGCCGTTAATAAGGACCCCAATTCCACTGTATGATTTAAAACTGGGCGCCTAGTTGCTTTTTGTTATGTGCTGTGTTGATATATTTCTTCATAAAAACTATGTAATATTAAAAATGTCAATATAAAAATTTGACAGCGAAAATAGCCAATTAGTTGAGCTAGTTTAGCTGATAAATAGCTAAAAACACGTGAATCCCGTTCTCTCGCAGGGGTGGGGACATGTATGGCTCATAGCTCACGATCTCTCCAGACAAAAATAAATTAAAAAGTAGTATTCCAACTTATCTTTTAAAACATTCTGGACCATATCAAAAAGGTAAATATATCGGTAATATCGGCCTTAATCTAACCGATACCGATACATGGCCGATACCGAAAAAATGACCGATATTGCCGATACCCGATACCGATACATCGGTACATCTATACTCCAAATTCAGCTTAAAATGATAAAAACACATTTGCACGTGAGAGTGAGGAAAGCACCACACAAAGATTTTTTGAACAATCCTCTTGCAATGCGCAACCGAGTATGATATTTTGTTAAATGGGATAAAGTTGAAAAGTTGAGTCAATCAAAAGAAAAAAACGAGAATATCGGTCGGAGACCGAAGACTTAACGATCGAGACTCTATAGTGACACCGCGTGTCCCATCACTAATTAATTGATAACTCGCTAATTATACGACATAATTCATCCGAAATCAATAAGCTTCTGGTCCGAGATATGATAAATGCACATGCAAAATTTGGAGCAGATTCAACCACGCCTTCGTGAGATATCGCGTGCATCTAACAGACAGACAAATAAATACCTATCAACATACTTACCGATCTAAAGATCGATAGGTAATTACTGAAGTACATGTAATTGTGTTTGCCCAAACACAAAAATGTAAAATTTTTCTTGTCGGACGTTTACCTTACTAAATCAACATTTTTCACATATCACAGTTTCGACTTTTAATTTTTTTTAATAGAAAGCAGCCGTGTTTTGATTTTATCCTATGAGAAATATGTGTGCGTGGTGATCGAGCGCGTGTAAGGATTATGCGGTTTATCTGGCATGAGGATAGAATTCTTGTAGTAATGAAACAGATTAATCACATGGCGAATACTGAATTTTGCCCGGTTACCAGTACGGATATTGCCCGTCCAAAATCACGGTTACATGTACCATCGTCAGGCGGCTGAGAGTCCTGATATTCGGCTGTCGTGGCCTTGGGTTATTTATTCCTTAAATCCGAGTATGCAGTTGGGTCGCTAGTCTGCCGTCATCGCTATTTCCTTATATATTGTATTCAAGGCCTAAATGCACAGAACGACTGGCATTCTCCATTTTTCAACACATCACATTGGCACTCCTTTTGCCACAAAGCTGATTTTTTTGGATGAAAAAAAACAAGAAATCTCTTTCACTAACTAAAATAATTACATAACAGCAGACTCATAAAAGGCTGTGATGGAATTTTATTATTCACAAATTAGGCCGATAATTTATGCATATCATTTAACAATTGCAAAAATACACTTAGGTAATATTTGAAATAATAAAATAGAAATAAGATTAAACATCATTCTTCAACAATAATTTAATATTCACAAAATCAATATTAGGTCTTTTGTGAATATTAAATTATTGTTGAAGAATGATGTTTAATCTTATATTGACACAACAGAAGCAAAGCCGTTCATTTAATTAGACCAGAGAATATACATTATTAGATTTCCAGAAAACAATTTTTGGCGAATTTCCTGAAAAATGCCTCTTGGCATGTTATTTTGTGGGGTGATTCAAAGTACATTTTTTCAATTCAATAAATTTGACTCACTTTATGGTAGAATTGTTTGGTAGTTTGCTTTGTAGCACCTTGGTCTAATCACCTAATATTACCTTCGGACATGGCGAGATTTCAATAGAGTGGAGATGATAATACATGTTAATAACTGCCATATGGAATTTCATTTTTCAGAAAGCAAAAGGGGTGTGCAACGTGCGGCCTGTAGGTCAAATGCGTCTCACAAGGAAAAATTGTGTGGCACGAAGATAAGCGCTAATTTTGGATGGTGTGTAGGCTGCGAAACGAAATTTGCCTGCAACTACAAGGAGGCCAAATGAAGGTGCGGCCTGCGGTTGCACGCAGTTATTTGCATCTGGCCCTCCTGTTTTAAAGGTTGCACACCCGTGCGATAGATGATAAAAGCCCTCATTCAGCAGCCTGTCATAAGACTATGAGGGTCACAAGGTGGCGGATAAACTTTTTTGTCAACCATCTGACGAATGAGTTCGGCACTTGAATGCTCGCATGCACCATATCTTGATTCATACGGTTTACACATAACCTCATGTCCAGAAGTTATATCTATACATCTGCAAAACCAGTCCAATTTGAGCCTTCGTATACTATAATGTGTAGCACATTTTATTGGATGGCCTCCAAAATTTAACTGAAAAATTTCAGAAAAAAATGAAAGTAACATTAGAATAATTTGATTCACAGCAGAATGACATTTTTTATAATAAAAATGGAGTATAATCAGACATTTCAGCAATATGGTGTTACCAAAAGATTTCAATCAAAAAATTGGCGATCCCAAAGTATGTGAACCAAAATAGCGGACACCGGAACGTAGTATGTGTACCAGGTTTGGGTTAGGCCATAATTTCAGGAACAAATACGGGAGTCACTTGGCTAGTCTCCGAACTCGTGCTAGAACTAAAATTGGAATAAAATTATAGCCTAACCTGATACACATACAACGTTCCGATGTTTGCCATCTTGATCCACATACTTCGGGAGTACCAAAAAATTATCCCACTAATTTTACTTACTGGACATGAAATGAATCATTTTGCTAGATTGTTGTTGTGAACAAATATGGCTTCCCAGTTTCAAATTCTCAGTGAATAAAGATGGGCGAAACCACTAGATCAGGGGTGTGCAACCTGCGGCCCACAAGAAAAAGTGTGCGGCCCGCAGCGAAGGGCCAATTTTGAAGGGTGTGCCTGTGTCCCCCGCGAAAGAAGTTTTTAATTTAGCTTAATTTGGTACGTTTGAGTAATTCCAATCTCTTTGCATTGCAAATCCCATATCTGAGTCCAATCTATGCATATGACGTTACCCTAATAACTCACTTTTGTGAAGTGAACAACGCATGTCATAAAATCAATAATCCAAATTGTTGTACCTGCAACTACTAGAAAGCCTATGTTAAATAAAGCCCACAGTTTCATCCAGTTATTTTTATCTGACCCTCCAGTATTAAAGGTTGCACACCGCTGCATTAGATGATAACTACCTTTATTTTTTTTACAAATTTACCTTAGGGTTCTCCGGGACATTACATCGCTTAAAATTTAGCTGTTTTATTTCAAGTCATGGGAACATTTTTATATGACATATGGGAACACTGTCCATATATATATTTGGGCATTGACCTTCTTGGTCTTTGTCGCATTATACTTACGTACGATGTTCCTCCATCTTCATTTATATAATGTTTAAATTCTTGCCATGTTAAAAATTTATCACAGTTCTCACCAGTCCGACAAGGATTAGCACAGACACAAGTTGGAGCAGTTTCCAACCACCTTCCATTCTTCCCACATGACATCAAATTAACACCCTGTGACAAAAACAAAATATGGTATTCAGCAAAAAATTCACATGGTTTTATATTTATCCTAGAGAAGAGTAGGCAATAAGGCAGCCTAATTATATTGGTATGACCGTTCTTTACCATTTAATTTTATAATTACTCCTGTCATAATTACTCACCTAATGAATGTCCTCATACAGCATATTCCAATGGGTCAGGAGCCTAGAAAACCGATTTTGAAACTTCATTTATTCGTGGCCCTTTTTTGCCTCAAAAGATATCTTATTCCCATGAAAGCTTCAAAATTGAGTATCATGAAAATGTCTCCTCTCTTTTCAATTTGTAATTATTAATGTTTTCTTGGGACCTACTTGTAGGAGGAAGAGCTACGTTGCGAAACACCAGCCTAGCCGTATTCCAACTTACATCTGTCTTTCTTGATTTGTCACATTTCACTCTGCATGCAGAGCCAACCACAGTACCATTGCATTCCACTTCACCATGTAACACTTTGGGAGGTTCATCACAGATTTTCAAACCTGGTAGAAAAGTAAAATTTTTCTAAGCCCTTCGAGAGCTTCATATATTTTTAATTGATAAATCTGATCAGCCGTGTGGGGTCGAAATTCCATGACCTCTCAGTAAAGAGCCTGAAGTCAGGTCCAATCACATTTTAAAGTTCCGAGTCCCAGGTCGAATCACTGCAGGTCGAGTCGCTGCTGTTTCGAATTGTAAGTCTGGGTCCCTATAGACTTCATACCAACAGTGAGATGGATGAATACGAGTCACATTGACATCAAGATTTCACCGCACGATCTTGCGTTAAACTAATTTTAACTTTGAAACTAAGATTCATGTCAATCGTCATTGTATTGACAATTTAACCTAGCAATTAGATTAATGTAGACTTCACTACCGCAGGATATACATGCCCGGTTCAAATCTAATAGCTAAATATGTATACAAACATGATGGTAATCCATTAGTCCAGTTTCCTTCTTCATTGCATGTAGTCTTCACTGCTCCCTAATCAATAAAAGAGTGTAACATTACTATGGCAGCTATCGAACACCACATACTAGATAATTTGTAAAGCAAATAGAAAGACATTGTTAGTACGGACAGAAATTGAATAACCAATGTTATTCCCACAGAATCAGCATAAAGTAGCTTAACAGTTAGAACGGACCTCCTGAAGTATGCGCACCAAGATGGCGCATAACCTGAACTCAGGTTGTGTACCAGGTTAGGGTTCAGGTTGTGCGTCATCTTGGTGCGCATACTTCAGGAGTACCGTTAGAACAGTGGTTCCCAAACTGGGTTAATTATACCCAATTGGGATAATTTGTTAAATTTAGTCAAACGAGCTATCTAGTCACGTACTTCGTAGAGACATAATACCACTACTTTGACGAACAGATTGTAGGCTAAACTGCTGAGCTAGCACAAGTTTAGCAATTCAATGTCGGATGGGAGTATGCAAGAAGTGTTAGTATTATCGCCATTTTTCGTCAAGGAAAAAGGAATAACAATATGCCTACTATCTTAATTATAGTGATAATTGAGTTTTTAATAACAATTTTGGGAACCACTGGGTTGAAGCATTGGACTAAGTGTGTTGGCTTAGCAGATTTGATATAGATTTGTTGGACAAAAGGGTGAATGTAGGAATTTTGAAAATTTCAATTAGAAAATTGATATAAAGTAGAAGCTGCTCCTTAAACAGGTTTCCTAATCAAAGTTTGAAGCCATATTCGCCAGAATATTTCAATAAAAATTTGTAGATTTTTTAGAAATTGAAAATATATGTTTATCTTATTTTCTCGAAACAGTTTTTTTTTCATGTTACATTTTTGGGGGTTGAAGCCCTCGAAATCTGGACAAAAGCACATGCTCACAATAGTACAATAGATTTATAGTACTCAATTTAACAACAACTAGTTTTATCTTTGATTGAATATGTAATATACTTAAACTCGTCACCAACCACCAACTGAAAACCTTTTTTGCAAGAGAAAGAACAGACAGCGCCAACTGAGTTGTTGTACCAGTTACCGACACACTCTATTGAACCATTCTCAACATGATTAAGAGGCTTGCAGGTTGTCACTGAAAAAACAGTTGAACACTGAACAGTTATTTTAAAAACTAACTATGGTTAGAGCACTGGATCAAACTACAGATCACAAGTTAAAGATTTCTCAAAGATCGAATCCATGGCCACCAAGTCAGGGAAGTATAACTTGGGTAGGCAATGTCGAACTGAAAGATTCTGGCCCTTAGAAATAGAATATCCTTGCACAGTGCCTTGTTGGGAGCGAATGGTGTGAATTAGCATCTATTGAAAAATTTCATCAGCCCCTTGATTCCAAATGAAATACTTCATAAAAAACGTTTTTAGCACTCCCTAAAACAGTGGTTCCCAACCCTTCATGGCTTGTGGCCTCCTTGCGGATGCCTTTAACACTCACGATCCCCTGTTCAGTATTCCAGTGGTATTTATATTGTTACTCTGATTGGTAGATTCCAAATCCCATTATATTCTAACAGCCCATGCTCGTCAAGGTGAAAACACGCTGCGAAATAACCTTATCAAGAGTTTTACTCCCCGTTAGTCGACAGAATCAGTTTTGTATCTAGCATCTAACCCCCTTTCAACCTCGCCCCCGGTTAAAAACTGCTGCTATAAATCATGAATAAACATTTGAACTTTTTGAATGTTTATACTAAAAATACTCACATGACAAAAACTCATAAATTACTGGCAGAAGCATGGCAATTATCACAGCTGCAGCACGTTTTTTCAAAGCCTGCCATAATTCTGTAAAATAAAAGACAAATTACATTGGTTAACAAAGCCAAAAGCCAAGATTTGAGTCTTTCCAAGAATAGCTTCATAGAAGTCAGTGGCTACTTGTTGTTAGTTGTGATATGCAATAAATACACAAAACATCTTAGAATGTGGTAAAAAGTTTTCTACTTTTAATCTCCATAAGTGTTCTAAATATCAGTGAACGCTCTAGAGCATAATCAGATCTTGAAGTATGATCATAAAACAATTTGCAAAAAAGGTTTGAGAAAATAATCTGAGCATTAAAGAATCAAAACTTACCATGCAAAGTACCAAAAATGACTCTTCTTATGTAATCCATATTTCTAAGCAGTTTTCCTGGAGATGGTAGCAGAGAAAAATCAAGTGATAGGGATGCACTCTATCAGGACACTACACACCTTAAGCCAAAATATTGATTAATATTTAAGATTGCACACCTTGGAGTTTATAGACAACTTTCATAACATAATTCCAAGCAGTTGACAAAAGTTTTCTTACAATTTTTATAGGAAACTTTGGCACAATCTGAAGGATAAGGCTTTGAAAGCTCTCAAATGTATTAACAGTTTGAAAATGGAAAATACAGATTACCCTAACAACAAGGACTTAACAAATTGCTACATGTCTGATTCACTACATGTCCAAGATTAAGAAAACAATGTTCAAATATATGAACACATATATGAAGTGTGTTTCCCCAATATTAAGTTCATAGGCAACAGCAGGTACAAATTTCGGCTAAAACTTTAAAAGTTGAAATACCTTTTGTGACTTTTTATAACATGAACAACAACTCCAATTGATCCTAATAAGTTGGAAGATTTTTTATATTGCTTTCGATATATCAATTCAAAAGCAAAACATTTACCAATGCAAAATATTTTGAAAAATAATCCCAGAAATTTCCTACTTAAAAAATGAACCATGAATAATTTCTTGAAATCTAGTAGCAATTTATTGTTTTTCATTGACAAAATAAACATGGTCTTTTATATGATACTCCTTCGATTCTTTTGCTCGTAACAAAGCCCCTCGAGAGCTGTCATCGATATCTAAGAATTTGTGAGGACCTACACTGTATGATATGACCGGAATCTTTCTAGTGCTTACCAAATTTAAAACCGGTACATTATATTACCGGCAACCCATAAATCACAATTTCATTGAAACATCACAATATATTTCTATGCTAGTTGAAAATACAATAAAAACAGCTTAAATGAAAAAAACCTAATAATTACATCTACGTACATATAGATCTTAAGAGCTTTTAACTCTGATATAAAAAAGCACAATCTTCTTTGAACCAGAAATGAAACATAAAACCTCACCTATTTAGCAACTGTTCCCAAGTCTGATTCCATCTAGATCAAGTTACAAGTTCTTAAAGTTCTGCTCAGTCATGGTTGAGTGGAACTATTCTTAGTTGAAATTGATATATTTATGATATAAACTCACTCATACGCATAGACCGGAACAACAGTATAGGGTTCAAAAACAGACTGTCTCGAATATTATTATGAATGTACTAAAGTAAACTTAATGGAACTAATAATCTTGTCACAACTACACTAGCCACAACTATTCCTAGAGCAAATAATCCAAGTGAGAACATCAAGCTGTGTTTATTATAATTCGGGGTAGCTCCTATTTTAAACATTCATTTTGTGATTCATGGCGCTCACTGCTAAAAGATGTTATAGTTTTGTGCACCAGGGAAAATGTTTTATTTATTTATTTGGTTTGATCAGAGCGAAGTTATTTGAGAATTGACTAACAAAAGAAAATTGATTCAAAGCAATCTGTTTCAGAAATAGAGGCGTTTAGTCTTTGCGCAAAACTATGGGTGACCACAGAAGTACCCATCAGTACAGCGGCTATTGAGAATTACAGTTTGTAAACACTCATTACCTCATCTGAAAGACACACTAGATATAATAATTGGCACTCCCGTAGTATGTGTACCAGGTTAGACCATAATTTTATTCCTATTTTCCTTATTTTAGTTCTATTGGAAGTTCATTCAATAATCCACTATATAATGCTAAAAGTTTAATTTCGCTAACTAACAATACCACTAATTGAAGAATTTTCAAAAAATCATTTTACCATATGTTCAATTCTGCTCAAACACCTTAAACTGGAATGAAGAGAGAAATTAATGAATCTGAATTTCTATTTATTTTTCAAATTCAAATCAAACTGACAATAATATAAGACTAACGGTAGCAGCCTTGCATTGCTGCTTTTCCATTGCCTTGTTCAGAATTCGAAGTAAAAAAGAAATAAATATAAAAATAACAGCAGAACAAAAATTAATTGAAATAAAACTGAGAGAATTTAATAAAATCCCACGCACTCGAGACGGTACTCCTGTAGTATGTGTACCAGGTTAGGGTTAGGCCGTGATTTTATTCAGATTTTCCTCATTTTAGTTCTATTTTGAGGAGCTCGGGGACTGTCTATGTTAGCCAAGTGAATATACCCCCTGCTCATAGGTTTCAATCCCTTTACACAACTTGATGTAAAATGAGTTAACAAAATTAGTTACTTCCATATTGCTGAACATACTTCTGACAAAAACCCAAAAAAGGTAAACGTAAAAAAAAACTTTTTGAAATACTTGGTGAATATCACTTCAAATGTGGATTTCAAATATTTAAATTTGCATATTGCTATTGTAAGAAACCAGCTTAAAGAGCTCTCTCGTAAGATGGGTGGCATAGCCAGGGGTGGTTTTGGGAGTCGGACCCCCCCCCCCCCCCCTTTTGAATGTAAAAAAAAATAATAGTATCTTTCTGTATCATAAATTGCAATTTGCAGCTTGAAACGTTCGGACCGGCTGGCTGTTTTGATGTAGCTTGTCAAATAGAAATTTTGTTTGAGATTTTCTGGCAAGATTCACAAACATCCATGGCACAAAAAGTTTGGGAAAACCTGATTTAGACCATATACTTGGAAGCATTATTTATGTGCAAAGCACCATATCGAATAAATATATTCGATCCGATTCTGAAATCATCAGGTATTTGAAAATCCCCAGCACTAGTCGTCACTCTGAGTCAATATTGTCCGAGAGGAATCACCCATTTTACTCGTTTTCCATTTTTTTTTCGTGCGATCTTTTCTTTGGGGAACATCTGAGTCTAATGCATAGATATCAGAGTCGAATACGTCATCACTACTTGAAGAATCCTTGACTTCTTCCAGTTCATTCAACTCCCATTCATCAGGACCCGAACTTGGAGATTTTTCATTTGCCATTCCACCTTGAAAACAAATGTAACATATTATAGGGTGTCCATAAAGTCTGCATAGGGAACTCATCACTACCATACGTTGTTATGGCCCTCACAGATGTATTAAATGAGGTTGAAATACAATTACTGATTAAGTGTTGAACTGTTTCACTTATTAAGTTTGGCAAGCCATTTCAAAACGGTTCAAGAACCACTGTTATAAACTGTTCAAACTGTGCAAAAGCCAGAACCACTAGCTCAGAATCTATTATTAAAGATGGAGAAAAGAATAGCAACAGAGTTTTTATGCGCAGTGAGGGGGAATACCCCAAAAGAGGGATCCGAATAAGACTAAGAGCGGAATTTATCGAAAAAGGTTGGAAACCACTGTACTAGTGGGTGAATTGTTGACTCAATAACTTTCGCCCTCGTTTTGCGTTTTTTTTATTATAAGTGAACTTCTAGGGCTGGGCATTTCAAATCGAATATTCGAATCAAATTGAAGATGAACTATTCTAATCGCTGTCATCTTGTTTTTTGTCTGCCCGCAGGTCGAGATGGACCCCTCAATGCAATTCTGACATATGACTCTTATCTTCTGAGTTAGTCATTGATGTAACATGTTGCATACTGTGTGTGAACATTCATCGAACTGCCTTAGTGATAGATTACGTGTTTCCACGAATATTATGCGTATGAAGGACTTATTACAACCAAACAGTCAATACAACTACATACCTTCCAAGTATTCGAGATCCAATTCGAAAAAAATATTCTATTCGATTCTGAATCATTAGATATTCAAAAATGCCCGACTCACCTCTTTCAATCATTCGCTCTCTTCTCCTTGTATACATGGAACGATCTGTGATATCGGGATCATTAAGAAACACAGACTCTTTGGTTCTGTCAGAACAAAAACAATCATATTTATTACAAAAAGAAAGCAGAAAATTTGATGCTCCGAAAGTGTGTGTACCAATATTACTTTACATCAAGTTGTGCAAAAGGACTGAAACCTATATTCACTTAGCTAACACAGCAGTCCCCGAAGTCATAATAAGAATTAAACTAGAATTCAGATGGAAACCGAAGACTTATCGATCGAAGGTTAGGGGATCCCCCAAAACAGTGGTCCTACTCCATATTGACACCGTGTATCCCATCACTAATTAATTAATAACTCGCTAATTATACGACATAATCCATCCAAAATCAATAGGCTTCTGATCCGAGCTAAGATGAATGCACATGTAAAATTTGGAGCAGATTGAACCTCGCTTTCGTGAGATATCGCATGCATCTAACAGACCAACAAACAAATACCTACTTACCGATCTTAAGATCGATAGGTAATAAGGAAAGTCAGAATAAAATTATGCCCTCACCCTAACCTGGTACACATACATTGGGAGTACTGATAAAAGATTGGGTGTTAGTCTTGCGTACCCTCAACTGATGGTTATATTAAAATTGTCCATCCTTAATTGCCCAAAATGAAAATTTAAAAAAAAAATACTGTATTCCAAATTACTTCTAAAATCAAAAATATCAAACAAACAAATTTCCTCTTGGAAGATGCAGTCGTAAACAAATCACAGATCAAAAAAACTTATTTCCAATTTACCTGTATGCCATAAATCCACTGACTCTTGAAATATGAATCTTTTTAATAACGTCTTTATACTTTTTATCGCATAAACCTGTGAAACATATGACCTATATTTGTATTGCTCAATGCAAACTATCCTACCGGTTAATTAATGAAAGGGGGAAGGGTTAATTCATACATAATTTCTGATTGAGAGATAACTTTTTACAAAGGAAATTTACTCAAAGCCAAGTCAACCACTCACCTATACATACCCCGAACCAGTACCTGAATAAGAGATCATAGTTTTCCACAGATTCTAGTTAACTTTTCTCTCCAAGATAAATATGTATTATCTATCCTAATCATAAATCCATAGAGATGTGCATATGGAACAATCAGCTAGTTGTTTAGATACCATAAATGATTTGGACTGGTAACTACGAGAAATCATAACTGTTGGCTTGCAGTGTGGCGCATCATGCTAAGCGTTAGGAATACACTCGCCACCACACGCACCTCTGATTCCCCTGCGTGGGTTCAAATCCCTTGCAAGGATAGTTCTGTGTGAGAGGATTGCTGACTTGGACTGGTAATCGGACGAGAGGCCGTGGTTCGCCATAGATTTAGTCGTCTTATCGTCTTCCTCTCCCCTGGGATAAATATGTAAATCCTATCCTAATCAAAAAATCATTTAAATATAGCAACACTTACCACTACTTTTTTGTGTTAATGGAACCCCTGTTACAGATGAAACGAACTGAGAGAGAAGTTGGACATTTTTATAATCAACCCTAACCCCACAAAGAAGACATCTCTTTATTTCTGGTTTAAAAGGATTTTCCATCGATACGGGCATGTCGTCATCTTCAAGCTGTGATGATTGCAGTTGTGTACTCGATAAACGTTTTACGCTGTTTAATACAGTATTTTTGGAGGGTTTTAAAACCCTATTTATACATTTAAATGATCTTAACATGTTTCTGTTTATCTAAAAATAAAATAAATACTAATACGTGAAAAAATAGGTCGTGAAAAAATTTACAATTTCTCTATAACAAATAATTTTCTAAAGGGAGCTACGGTAATTCAGTATCATTGAAGATCATAAAAATCACTCAAGAAGAAAACAAGCTCAAAGAAACATATCATGGTGTAAGATATTTTAACTACCGGACTAATTCCAGGTAAATGGCAACATATTTCAGCCCTATTGTGGGTTTTCATTCTGTTGACTGTTACCCTTATTTTAATCCCAGAGCCTCAATAACATTTCAGCTATAAGATTATTATAGAACTCAAAAAAACAACTTTCAAATACAGTTATGAATTATTCCTATAGTGATTAATTGGCGCTCCAAAAGAATGTGTACCAATATGGAGATAACTAATTTTGTTTGGCTACTTTACATCAAGTTGTGTAAAGGGACTGAAACCTATGTGCAGGGGGTACATTCACTTGACTAAGACAGACAGTCCCCGAACTCGTAATAGAAGTAAAACAAAGAAAATTGGAATAAAATTATGGCCTAACCCTAACCTGGTACACATACTACGAGAATACCAATCAATTTAGCACAGTGCTAATAAATATAGAGTTAGAAAATGTGGATATGAATTGGGATGAATTACGGATTCGCAATCTAATAGGAAAAACAAACTACAATTGTATATGGCCAAAATTTAAAAATATGCAAAAATTAATGTATTTACAGTGTACTGTACATTATTTCAACAAATTAAAATCGAACAAGTAAAAACTGAGGCACTTTTGACAAAAGAAATAGATTAGAAAGTCTAAGAAAATAACAGCACATTCTGAAACCTTGTGAATGCTAATGACTATTTTTTCATGTCACTTCCTGCAAGTTGTCTATACAATTGGTCCAAATATAATAGGAAATGGAAGGATGATGAAGAATATAAAAATAATTATAGCAGCTGAAGAATACTTCCAAATATAAAATATAATGATTTGAGCTATGTTCAACAAATAGTATGCAGGAGTAGAAGTACAACCACAGCTGTCTAAAATAATTCTCTTGTTATAACAACTGCATTTTTAGCATCTTCAATTTGGAAGTATGCAAAAATATTTGAAAGGTACATCAGAAATAACAGATTATTCGATTCCAGCCATCTCAACTAGTTGCCAGACTGTATTTTAGCAAAAGATTGGAGTAACTATTCTACATAGGGAGGGAGGATTCAGAATTCGATAATTGGACCCAAATTGAATTGAATAATTTCAGCTTGTCATAACAGTTGCATCTGCGTCTCCTTTCTCAATCGCTTCTTTTATACTTTCCGCATCTTTTTTCAGTTGTTCGTTATTCGGATCAATTTTAAGAGCTTCGTTGTAATCCAACAAACCTTCCGCGTACAATTCTAACTCACAAAACGCGGTTCCTTTCCTGATATGAGCTTTGAGACGAGCATTTGCATTCGCTGGTACCGGTGGTTGTAACAAGTCAAGCGCACGAGAACAATCATCAAGGCATTTATAGAAGTTTCTGAGCTTCAAATGACAAGCAGAACGGTTTAGATATAATAGATGGTTTTTGGGTTGGATTCTGATCGCAAGATTATAAGCGTTAACAGCGGCGAGGAAGCTTCCAGAAGCAAAAAGTTTATTTCCTTTTTCTTTCAGCCAATCAGGGTCCTTTTCATGCTCTTCCAGATCCGTGTCATTCAATTCAGTAGTTTTCCTTGCTTCAGCTTGTTTTTGCAGCCATTCTTCTTCTTCTTGAGTTTTCGATTCCCGCAGAGGAGTCGGAAAAACCCTTGGAGTGAATTTGAATTTTATGTTTCCTCCTTGCCGAGGTTGTGAACCTCGTGGTTTTGCAGCCACTGTTTTTTTCTCATTATTGCTTGATTTATCATCTACGACATCATCAGTTTCCATGGTTTCAGCATTAAAAATGTCTTGACTCTTCTCAATCGCTGGTTCTCTTGCCTTTGCTTCTCCATTAACCTGTTGAAAAGAAGATAAAATTTAGAATCAAAAAATTATCCGTTTCTTATAAATTTTTGTTGCATAAAAACTTCATTAGAATTTTTCAAAATCTAAACAATGCAATTTGCAAATTTTAATCTGGATATTGCTTTGTTTATGTTTGAAAATTTCCAAAGTATGTATGATGAAAAATTCTGACCATGCCTCTGACATTTACTGTATATTCCATTTAGAGAGTTATGAAGGGAACATTATTACTATTTGCATTGAGAATATTATTCTACACATGTAAATTCATTTCGTGTTTTGTTTTGACTTTAGGAAAATAACACAGGGCTTCCCAAACTGGGGGTCGCGACCCCTTAATAAGGGGTCGTGCAACAAATTTTAGGGGTCGTAAAGAGTGCACCAATTCCACACAAAATACGATATACATTGTACTGTTTTAGACTTTTTATTCAAAACACAATCATTAAGTTAGTGCAAAACAGGAACCTTACAATTTCAAGAGAAAACATCAAACTAGGAAAGCTGCCTGCTTGTATAACAATCCCAACTCAACAAAGGTTGCGAAAAATTATGATATATTGAAAGGGGTCGCGAGCTTGTTTGGGAAACCCCGACATAATATATATCATCATTTTTCAAGTAAAAAGGAACACATCCAGAAAGTTCCAGAGTACTGTACCATTGAGATATGGGCATCCCCAAGGATAGCTAGCTTCTAATAGAAAATGAAGTTATAGTTGTTTATTGAACCGTTTATTATCAAGTCCTCAAGCTGGAACAACAATTGATTTTTCTTTTCTGAAATTAATTATTTTCAAAAACCAATAATAATTGACCACCGTGACATTGAATATTTTCAAGAACCAATATTTCCAATAAATTAATCAATATATCTATCACTTCCATCTGTAAAATATCTGAATTCACTGGCAGCTGCAGAGTCGCGAACAATATTTAATCCACGTACAAACATTGATTAAACTAACCAGGGAACCAAGCCACTTGAAGAATTGTTTCGCCGAATTGATTGGCTTGTTGTGATTTTCGTTAGGAAAAAATCATTTTTGAAATCCACTACTGGACTACTGATTTTAAAACTTATGTATTTGAAGATGAAGAACTTTTACTTTTATTTATTTTCGAATAGTATGATATGTCTCCCCACTATTTGCTGACTGGCTGATATTACAAACCAGATGATTATTATCTTACTTTTTGCAGTTTGACATAATACTGTGAAACATTATACAATGAAAAAAACTAAAACCAAACTAATATAAATCTGATACATCCACTAATGAATAATGCTATGCACAGAGCTATTATTTTTAAGAACCGAATTTTTTCCAGTTCCGCATTGCTGACTTTATTTATAAATTTGAAGATGCCCTTAAAAACTTACCAAATTTATGATATCAAGATCATCCACATTCTTCAATGACTGCTGTAGACGTTCTTCAGCCAATTTCTTCTTTTCCTCCATTTCTTCCTCCTTTTTCAGTTGTTTCCAGCGTTCCATTTCATCTTCAGCGTTTTTTCGTTCAGTCTCTTTCACTAATTCAATTCTAGATTTTTCTTCTTCTTCTAATCGCATCATTTCTTTTACTGTGTATCGTTTATCAGTCGTCTTCTTTGCCAATGCTTCTTTCTGCTGCCGTTCAGTCTGTTTTTGTACATACTCTACCGCTTCTAACTTTTTTTTAAGCATGAAGGCTTTATCTTCTGATTTTTCCGATAAAAGCTTTCCCCAAATTTCATTTTCGACTTTAACAAGATTAAATTCCACTGCCCCGTCTCGAATTTTCGCGACACTTTTATCATCATCAATCTCTTTATATAGTAAAGCCTCAAAGAGAAAAGGCGGATAATTAGCTTTCAAGAATTCGTTGGTACAAAGTAGACCAACATTAGCAGTCTTCACACCTTTTAACGGCACAGTTACATGAACTTTGTCTTTGGTTTCAGTCCAACTGTAATCTTTTACTAAAATCGGCATCTTTTTATGAGATATATTTAATTAACTAATCTTAAATAGAAAATACAGAAGAAATATGAAAAATATAATATATAGCAATTACGGTTAATATACTTTATAACAAATATATGAAACTAGTCTAATACAGAATCAGATAGATTGGAATGCAAAAATGGTAACAAGGCATGTAAATACAAAATTAAAAAACGATATATTTAACAACCGTATTTGAATATTGACAGTGGAATTGCTATTTTACAATTGGTTTATAGGTGTAAATAAATTAAGATTTAGTCACAGTCAGGTATATTTCTTACAGACTTAACGAAAGAAATGAAAATTATAATAGAAAGCCATTTAACCCTCAGATATATCAGAGTTTTTTTAACTTCGTGTGGTAGATTGTGCATGTCATAAATTGGTTCATGTTTGAAAAATGACAGTTGTAAATCAAAATCCCTGAAGATTCGGTCCCAATGGTGTAACAGTATATTTGAAGTGGGCCTCAGAGACTTGAAAAACAAAACTTATTATATGCTTGTAGGTTAATATGTGAATCTTAATCGTTTAACTATTGGTGGTCCTAATCAAAAGCCGCTGAAATCATATATTGTGGCCCGTGGGGTCTTGAATCAAGTAGAAGAAACCAGGATTTTAAAATAGGAAGAGAGAAATTTAGCGAAAAATGTTGAGAATTGAACATACATCCACTGATATATATAGGGTGTCCAATCTGGCCCAAAGTTTTTAAAATTGCAAAAGAAATTTATCTATACCATAATATTATATTGTTTTGGCCCTAACAGATGTATTAAATGAAGTAAAAATGATTACTAATTAAAAAACATCAAACCTGGTTAAGATATATTGAACTCTGTAATGGGACTTTGTGGACGCCCTGTATAATCTTTAAAACTCTACATTGTTCAATCAATGCCTCATACCAAACCATGAGTTTACAATTTTCAAATTCAGAGCAACTGTCAAACGTTCCAAAGAATAACCGCGCCCAGAATCAATAAAAAATAACTCAATATGACCTATGTTATCATTATAAACCATTCTTAACCCTTTATCAGAATCTTGGTCAAAGTTAACCACTGCGTTACTTGAGAATTCATGTTTTACAGGGGATGCAGAAGACCACATAACATCAGAATTAATGTCAACTGCAGTTATTGTTAAAAAAGAAACATTTTTTAAATTTCCATGAAAAAGATCTGTTTTCCAGCTTAAACCTGTTGCGTCAAAAGCTGAAGAAACATTATTTGTTTTCGTAAAAGAAATCATCGAACTGTCAGTATTATTATCACACTCATCACTGTGTATTCTTAGATCCCAGTAATCCTTTTCTCCTAACGTTAACTGCAAATGAAACCAGTATCCATGGAGTCCATAAGACTTATCCAAAACGCCAGGTTTAACTGTGTGACGCTCCAAATAAATAGTGTCTGAAGTTGACATTAGACATTTTTTGAGAAGCAAATCGTGGTGTAAACTGGCACAAATGAACGCGACATCTAATGTATCTTTCCAGACAGAGATCAAAATCCCAGAATTTGTGGTGTACACATCAATTTGGTCATTTGCAACAAATTTATTTTTAGCATCAAATAATTTGTCATCCAATTTCTCTTCAAAAACAAGACTTTTCTGCCTCGGTCCATTTTTAATAAGATTTTTTCCTTCACCGTGCACGAAAGGTGTCAAGGAGAATATTTGTACTTTTATAATTTTTTTCAAATCCGGCCAAGTCTTTAAACTGTGCCATTGTAGCATAGTAGATGTGAGATAAATTTGTCTTTTCTTCTCAATGAAGTTAAAGGTTTGACCCCCCTTGGTAGAAAAACAAAGCTGGAATTTTGCACCAAGTTTTTCAAAATGCTTTTGTATTTTATCCGTAACACCAGTATAAGGATTAATTTTAGATAATCCCAAAAACGATTTATCCCTCATTTGTTTAGACTTTGTAAAAAATCGCTTCTTCCAATACTTTTTTTCTGCTTCCAACGGACTAGCAGGTTCTTTAACTACGTTTTCAGCAAATTTTTTAGCATTCATGAAAACGTATTTAGTATAGAATACTTTCCAAAACGAATCATCATCTGCGATTTCTTGCCACCTTTTACAAACAGAAGCGCAAGACAAAAGTGACTTCACGTCTAGATATTTAAACACTTTGAATAATAATTCATTTGGCAAATCATTAAGTCCGTTATTCACTTTGTTTCTAGTAATTTTAGAAAGTTCTTTCGGTTTTGTTGTTGTTCGCTCATAGAGTCGATAATAAGAAGAATTTGGAACTGTTTTTCCGGAACTTTGCTGCTTCTTTTTATCCAAATATGATTTTTTCAAAGCTGAAATTTCTCCCGCCTTGCGCATCTTTGTTGAAAAAACTTGTCCTAATATCACAAGATGTCACCAGAGCACGGTCCAGGGACCATATGGAATGGTTGGTCACAATGTATATATATTTTCCGTTATGATGCTGATTATAAACTGTTATTATGGTATTGATGAGAAGAGGTTTCCTTCTGGGTTAACCTTTGACCTCAATCTTCCTCATTATAAATCAATTATTAGTCTTAACTATATTAATTTAAATCTAATAGAAACAGAAGCATTCAGATAATAAAGTCCAAACAATCCACAACAAAAATCCCTAACCCATAAGTTCAAAGGTCATGAATTATGAAACTCAAGAGTACAATCAAAAAATGTGAATTTATACAGTACAACACCACACTTCTACTGGAAAAAGGGAGAACAGGCTAGTTTCAAGCATCTTCCAAAATGGAGTTTTCTAAAGATGATGCATTCATTCATAAAGCCATATCCTGAACCATGAAATTTTAAAATCTTGAATGGAGGCCAAATTTCACCCAAATGAATCTAAATAGCATTCGATTAGGCTGAAGTAACATCCTATTTGTAAGCTTTGTTAGTTTTAAAGTATGTTCATGATTCTAAAATCTGTCATATATCACGATTTTGGTATTAAAATTAGATGAGAATATTCAAAATCTATTCGGATACTTATTGAAATCTGAATTTCACCCTCAACCTTTACAAGTGTGGTGGTACACTCTGCCAGACAAAAATTTACAAATTTTTAAGAGAGTCTTTCCAGGTATGGCCTGAAGTAAATGATGGATAAATAGCGAATTAACAAGCAAAAGCATGAAACACACAATATTGGAAACCAATTCAAACATGATCAATTTTTGCCCAATCACTTATTTTCTTGTTTTCTGTGGGTATGTTTGTCTTGGGTTAGGTCAGATTATTACCCTTTTCTGATTATCCTAAACCAGAGATGAAAAAAATAAAAGGAGAACTGATCAAAAAATTTTAGGTGAGACTATGACAGAATAAAACCAAAATATTTTCTTGAATAAAATATAAGGTGAACTAAGTCTGAATGATACATAGTTAACTTAGATAATGCAGCTTTCTGCATTTAAATAAATTTTCATATTCTCATTTGACCTATAGGAAGGAGAAAATGAAATCCAGTACTTCCAGGAAATTACTATTAAAAGCAATTGAAATGGCACCAAAAAAAAACCAAAATCTAAATTATGGGTCATAAGTTGGCTAAAAGGGCGACTGTAAGCATTATAACATGGGGTTAAATAACATGGGACAATAGACAGCAAAATCATGACATAATCAGATTTTAAAGCAAAATTAGCATTGTCATATGAATTCGGAACATAATTATTCACAAATGCAAAGCAATTTTACCCTTGCAAGAACAACCAATAATAAATTATTCTTCCAAGATAAACAAATAAGTAGAGATACATTATACACAACATATTATTTGTAACAGTATTCCGAACAAATTCAAAAACAGCTTTAGCTTTCGATTAAAGATACAAAAAACATAGACATTTGAAATTAAACCGTGAACATCCAAATAATCACTATTTTTTCAAATGCTCAAATATGGTCATTTTTGTGCTGCCAAGAAACAATATATGGTCATGCTCCATTTAAATCATCCTCAAAGGAGGGAATTTCAATAAACTATCGAACTTTGAATACCTGAGCTCCATTCTGGCTTTCATGTCCACCACCAAATTGAAGCCAAGTCTTTGGATTTGGTAAAATTAATTCAATCTTTAGTCCTCCCAATAGAAATGAGAGAGGACCTATTGATTGATATTTCCAATCTTAATACAGTTCCCAAATCACCATGCAAATGTTTACACACATAAAAAAGTGAAAATTAAACATACATACTTGATCTCACTCCCAATAGGTATCTTTTTATATAAGTTTATGTCAATACAAGTCCTAGCAAAAAATTTACTATCGCAGAATTGAATGTATTATTATGTAAAGAAGCCAATCAGTAGTCAGTTGACCAATTTTGCATGACACAAGCCATTCATTTTGGATTTATAGACTAATTTTCTGACACGCTTTATAAATCATAATTACAGTACATGACATCTTACCAGAAGTTGACCTAACACACAGGAACTTCATATTGTTTTGGATTGCCATTCGAGGATAAATCTAAAATTTTGGACATTTAAGTCACTACCCATATAACACAAATACTTGAAAATCTCCAGCGAAAAGCGAAACTCAAACTGCACTATTTATATTAGTCAGCTGTGTGAAAGATACAAATTTTTTGATTGACTATGTCAGGCTTTTATGTTATTTGTGAGCTTATAAAATTAAGCTGTTTCGGGATTCAAGTCAATGAGAAGCTTTACCGTGTTTTTGAAAATTTCAGCACTTCCGAGCCAACTGGACATTTTTGAATGACAGTTCACAATTCTAATACCAGTCCATGATACCTGTATTCAATTTCAATACGACTACAGAAAACACATTTTTTTGTCAAATATTTTGTTATTAATATAAAGACAGAAGTAAGAGAAACTCGCATGAGAAGCAAATGAACGTTGAATTGATAAGGAACGAGATAGTTTTTGTGTCATTGATAAGTTTTCCCCAAAATGATTGTTGAATATGGCACTCGGATAAATCGAAAATGTTGCCTATGAGAATGAACAACAACAAAATTGAAAGTTCAACAAATGCCTGAAAAAAATCGCTCTGTTCAGGATTTTGAAAAAAAAAATACTCAAATGATACTGTGTGTCACATAATTTAAAAAATATTGGAACTAAAGAGTATTTTTTTATTTTTATAATCGACTTATCTGAGAAACATGGCTTACCAAAGTATGAAATTAATCCCAAAATAAATATTACTTCCACAATTTGGTGATGGAAGGTCCTTGCTTAAAAGCAAATTGAATATTGGAAAAGGAGATACAAGCAGACACTAGCATGGTAAGAGCAACAGTTTGATCGAGTTCTTTATATTAAAATTTGTGAAATAATTTGACAATGAACCCCCTATATCAGCACTTGAGAACGTCTTTTATTTCGTAAACAGATACAGCCAGAAGAAAACAATGCAAAACACAGCAAACGCAAGCGAAGCCATACATTACATTGAGTTTGTACTTTAAAAGATGAAAATCTAACATTTCGCCAATTTTTCTTTAAAACGACGTAAAACAATGAACATATTTGATGATAATTTTGAGTTCTTAACAAAAACGTAAACAGAAAAGGGTTAGGGATGATGTATCATTGGTGACAAAACCAAAAAGCAAAGTTACCAACAAATAACTTTTCCTCAAAATATTTGAGTACCAGAAAACAGAATTCTTTTCACCCTATTCGCACACAAGGACAGACATTTAGGCATCAATATTTTATTTTGAAGGTTATTCAAATGTTTTATTCATGATTTTGGTGAACTTGAGTTTTTTCTGAAGCAAAGTAAATCTGTCATAAAGTGAACCCACAAACCCGCTTCATTTTCAAATAAAATATAAATGACTGTTTATGACAAGCCATGATTACGTACATTCCTTAGTGAAACCAATAAGCTTTGCATACATGGTTTATTTACTCTAAGGGCGTCTCATTTTGATAATGCCACACAAAATGCCGTCTTACGCAGTATTGACCATCACACTTGAATCAAAATTTAACAATTTCTTACAGAGGCTTCTTATGTTGCATGTGTTATGGCATCCGAATGGTGCCACACAAGATGCCGCATTTTGCCCATCACTTTCAAAGTTATTTGAAAAGGAATTTTACATAATTTTTTTCAGAGGCTAACACATTAGCATACAAACAAGGTGCAGCAAGTCATTCAATTTTATATCGCAAACTAGCAACTGAAACGGAAAGTATTCATTTCAAAAATTTCGGATTGTAATTTCTGATATGTGTAAAAAAATTTTGACGCAAGCAGACAACATATTCATCGAAAAAGTACAAAGGTAGCGTAAAATGGAGATACTTTATTCCACTACAGTCAACTAAAATGAGCAAATATTATATCAAAAAGTGGGAAAACAAAAGCAATTCTCATTGTCATGTGACAGATAAAGCAAAAGCCTTCAAACAAATTGTATAGAATTCTGAAACCAGGGGTTTCAGCTGAACTCATACAGCGGTTTGCCCACAATCGTGTTCGGAGGTTTTACCCATATGCTGCACAGTGGTTTTACTTGCATCATGTGCCAGTCCTCCGGCATACACATTAACAACTCTATATGCTAGCACAGAAAGGTTAATTTCAGAATTATTCAAGTTAAATTATTGAATTTTTAACTCCAAGATGTTTCAAATCCAATAAATGATATTGGGAGAGACAAATTCAGGTTTGAATTATTACTTTAATTTACATTTCTGCCAAACAACAAAAGGAGCAAACATGATATTGACTTTGTGAATTTCAGAAAAAACAATAGGAATCACTTTTGTTGTTCCCACTTTATAATTAAACATTCGCAAATGAAATTTAATGGAATAAAAAGCTAAACTCAGCATGCAATTTTTTGAACTATGACGTCACTATTTTTTTTCGAGTAAAATTTTGAATTTTGCCATAAAACGTAACAAATAAACCACATAAAAAAATTGTCCTTAAACGGCGTTCTTGCGTTTACCGATGATCAAGTTTATTTTGAAATAGAAGCCCCGTTTAATATTAAAACGATGTTCAACAGTTCATTCTCACACACATAATATTCACAGATTTGAAAGGTCTTGACGATGACCTTTAACCCAAGGTCGGGAACTCTTGTTCGTTTTGAACATCAGGAAGTAGTTGATGACCTTGCCTCTGCATTCGTTCCCCTCCAAAACGACCGCCACGCCCACGTCCACGCCCTCCTCCTCTACCTCCGCGTCCTCGACCTCCAAACCCTTGATTTCTGTTGTCTCCGAATTGGATATTAACGCTTACTTGTGGTTTGGTTTGTCGTTTATGCTGGTCATCAGGATTGGTTTCTCGTTTCGAATCGTCTTTGTTGACTTTGCGCAACACTTTCATGCCTTTCCATTTTTCTTGGCTCTCTCCTTCTCCGGGTCTTCGAATATTAAAGGATGGTTTTGCTTGAGTGCCTTGTTCCTGTTGGGCTTTCCATTCATCGAGTGTCATTTCCGCTGGTTCTTCTTCTTTCGGTTCTTTATCTTCTGCGCCTTCCTCGGTTGTTCCCTCCTCTTCAGTCTTTTTTGGTGATTCAGTTCCTTCAGTTTCAGCATTTTCTTGCCATGTTCCGACTGGTTCAGTTACAGCGGTAACTTCCGCAGTTTCCTCGATTTCGTTTCCAGGGGTTCCCCAATTTCGTGGGCCAGCGCCGTCACGCTTATCGCTTGGTTTCACACTTGATCGATCACTTCCGCTACGTCGGTCGAATTCACGTTTTCCGCGATCATCACGTCCGTCATTTCGATATCCACCAAAGTTCCTGCCTTGATATCCACCACGACCTCCATTTCCACCACGACCTCCGCGGTACCTTTCCGCACGATCTCTTCTTGGGCCATAATCTCCAGTGCCAGGGTGTCTCAACTTCTCCCCTTTAGCTTGATCAAAGCCTTCTGTTTTTTGATTTTCATTGTTTTCTCTGTTCTCCCGTGGATGATCATTTCTTCTTCGTGGTGGTCTCCTATTTTCATCACCTTCCCCGTAATTTTGTCTTTCATTACGAGGTCGCCGAGCGCTATTTTGCCTGGGACCATCGCTACGGTCATTTTGACGTCCTGGCTTTGCAGATTTTGGTGCCCCTGCGTCTTTTTTAGGTGGGACATTAGAATCCTTGTTCTCTTGGAATCGCGTTGGCTTTTTTTGGTTTTTTGGCCTGTTTGCCAAAGCCTGCTTTTTCTTTTTAGCTTCCTCTAACGCGCTCTTTTTCTGATCTTCCAGCGTTTTCAAGGTGTCTAACGGATCATAATCCGCCGCCGTGTCGCTTTCATCGTCAGGTTCGGAACCTATATCGTACCGATTACTGACGTTTACACTATAGATATCCTGTATTGCAGGCATTTTATAGAGGTTTTGCTGACTCTAAATCGCCAATATTCAACAGCTTTTGTACCGAAAATCGAAGAAACGTAAAACGCCGCCTCGTGAAAGAAGTTTCCGCTCCAAAACGTGCTCGGCTCCGAAATTCCTCGTTCCCACTAAAACACGCCCACAAATAGCGTTGCCAGGTAATATTGGCGGTTTATGGCAAGACCAAATTTTCGCAATACAGACTTATTTTAGAAATTAAATTGTATAATAAAAAGTTCGGATTATGCTTTGGCTCATTTTAATGAACTGAAAATATTTATAACGCTTTTGAATATGCATACAAGTATTTTAATGCAAAAATTATTCGCTAATCAGTTAGAATAGACTGAATAGCAAAGAACAATCGATTGGTATCTCACCGTTTGTTAAAAAAAATAGCAATAAAATAATGTATAAAACTGTTTTTTATTTTAAAATTGCACAGTTGGTGCAATCGTATTTTTTTCATACTCATGTGCAAGATGAATTTTTTGATGACAGACATATTTAAGAATCTATCGTCACGGAAGGTAAACTGATCGGAAAATTTTACCAGAAGAATCTATATTTCAATTTGAGGATATTGAAGATAATGGCAAATTTAATTGAAAAAATTCAATTTTTTGCAAAATTTTGATGATTTAGAAAATCAAAATTATATAATCCACCATGGAAAAACAAATGTCAGAAAAAATGAAAAACAACAAGACCAACTGGGAATGGCAACTTGTTAGAAACTCTTATAAGGTAGGTTTTACATATTTGACGATTGCCGATTGCCAGTCACTGTCGGGTATGGGAATGGCAAAAAAATATTTTTTTTTACCAGGAGTTTCACAAACCAAGATCAATGAATGTCAAATTTCCTGTACTTAAAGATGGAATAAGTGACTAGGAGGATATCATAGATTTTCAATGACCCTACGGGCCAAATTTTACAGTTTTTCATAATTCCCGGGCACAAGCTCATGTGATATTCGGCACCTTTCTTACATTTGGCAGCCATATTAGTGATGAACGTTTCCCCGACCTTTGACCCCTGAAAAACTCTCCATATACTTTACTATTGCAAAATTTCAAACGCTCCTTTTAAGAGTGATTTGGGGGTTAGCGCCTACAAACTGGCCCTTATAAATTTATGCAACTAAACTAAATGTTGTCGGAAGGCATGATAGCAAATAAGTTATTTGATTTACAACTATTTTTTGGGGAACACAAGTAAACACTGACAAATAACACGCAAATACACGAAAACGAGGCAATACTTACAACTCTGCCTGAATATCTGTCTGAGCCAAAGAATGGTCTGAGCGGCCGCATAAATTCCTGTTGTTACGATGTTGTTGACCTATTGCTGATTGGTCATTGTTACGGCAATAAACAGGGAAAACGATGCTCGGGGAAACATTTATTGATATTCGTGTCCATATATTTGAACATTGGTCTAGATCAGGGCTTCTCAAACAAGGGGCCGCGGCCCTGAAAGGGGCTCCGAAACGAATTTTAGGGGCCGCAAAGAGAACACCAATTTTACACGAAATATAAATCTATTGTACTTTTTCAGACTCTTGATTTGAAATACAATTATTGAAAATAGTGTAAAACAAACATTACACGATTCCGAGTGAATACATCATCATAATACCGTGTTTCCCCCAAAATAAGACACTGTCTTCAATTTTCTTTCGAAAATAATACTAGGGCTTATTTTTGGGATAGAGAATACCGAGATTTTTTATTATACAAAATATGAATTCCGATTTTCATTTACTTATAAATAGAACGTCTTTATTTAAAATAACTGCTAAATACAGATTATTAATCATTTAAAAAGTAGAAAAGATTTCTTGCTATCGACTAGGACTCAGTGGTTCTCGATCTTCATTGTATTGTGACGCCTTCCTAAATATGCTCAAGTTGCGACTCCTCGTGAAAATACTAGGGATGGCCCGGGATTCGGATCCGGACTCAGATTCGAGTGGAATCCACACATTTTATGGACTCGGATTCGATTTCAAGTCCACGTCATTTTTACCGCAATTCTGTTTTTACTAATTTACGCCTATATTTGTACTTTTGCCTCTATAAATCTCACTACATACCTTAACTAGGTAAAATTCAAGGTTAGATCTGTAACAATATCCCTCGTGTGTATTATAATATAAACACTCCTTATAAAGACGACGACAGATATCCAGATAATATACCGTAGGTTAAAAACTATTGATCGCTGATAATAATAATGTTGCGCCAGTCGCTTTCAAACTATCTATCCTTTTTGGTATACATGTGACACAATAAAATATGTGTTAGCGAAATATTTTTGAGTTTTTGATTCGCGTGAAAATGAAACATGCTCCCGATCAACCCAGTGGGGAATCTCATCAATACCTCTTTTAAATCGAGTTTATTACGTGCAATCCTTTCTCTAAAACGGGAGCAATGGAAAGCGTGGGGAAGATGTAGAAAACATTGTATTGACGACGAGGCATTTCTCTACCATTTGCGCACGTGACATAGTAAATTTACGGCTAGAAATATCTGGAATTATGGGAAAGCATTGTAGTCAAAAGCTTTTTATTTTTCATATTGACATGTAAGAATTTCCGACTAGCCGCCCGGAAATGACACAAGGTGGTGGGCTGGAAATCCAGTTCACAGCCAAGGCGCACAAAAGCCCACGTTTACGTTCGTATTATGGCCGCCAAAAAAGAAAGAAAATATATTTTTAAAATGATTCAACAGCTATCTGCGGAACCATTAGGCAAATGAGCTACGACGTATGTATGTGAGCGCACGATGCTGTAGCTTGGTCAAAAACGTGTTTTTTTGCTTTTACATTGTGACGTCACGGACTCGGAGGATTCGATTCGAGTCTTCAGTCTATTACTCGGATTCGTCGAATCTCTGTAATGGCGGACTCGTCCCATCCCTAGAAAATACGTATTGATACATTTTAATAGAAGACTTTTTTTGCAATGAGTTTTATATAAACGGACAAATAAAACTTAACGACAGTCAGTGAAATCGCATTTAATGCGCCTTGGTAGAAAAGTCTGCTTTATATAAATACGAAATCGCAAAGCAGATGGGCGTGCGCATCGCTTTTTGAAACCAAGGAAAAATAATTTTTATCTACGGAAAACCGAACTTTCAGAATTAAACTTTTGTATTATAGCACCATCACAGGTAAGATCGATTTAATCTACCTTTTTTCAGTAAAAGTAGCAGATATGGGTTGATTGGAAGGTTCAAGAATCACGAAATTTTGCGACGTCCCAGCAAAATTGAAACGACGCACTTCCACGGGATTAACTAAACAAAAAGATGCGCTATCGACTAAGTCTTTTTTAAAGGCGAGCGCTTATATTATATATAATCCTTTTTAAAATTCAGGCTTGATCTTATCCTCGGGGAAACACGGTAGATTCATCGCGCTTTCATGACAATGCATATTCTGGCCGTAAGACCCGATTTGTGTGTGCTTGCATAACAATGACGGCTTTAATCGTTAAGTTAGCGGTTTCCGAAGGCGATTTGCAGAGTGCGCCCCGAAACATATCACATATTATATTAATTCTAAATGTTTTATTGTTTCTTATTGTTGCAAATGATGTGTATATGAATCGAATTCATTTTACCGTTCTACGTTGTTTACTTTCTGTTCCGTAGGGTATATTGTTATAAGACAGTGGTTCTTAAAGTATGGGTCGCGACCCAAACATGGGTCGCGGAAGGTTTAAAAATGGGTCGCGACAAGGTCGTCAATGCAAGGGCAATCTAAGAGGAGAAGGACGAATTTTCAGCTTTCCCGATGTTTCAATTTAGCTTCTAAACTCTGGTATTTAAAAATAATGAAATATAAAATTTCATTCACGAAAAGAACTGTCTTGAGCTCATTGTTGTATCACAATTCTGATATGCCAGTCACGTGTATTATTTTTATGGTATCGGTAACCATGCACGTCGCTTGTCGTTGTGTTGACCGCGCGGAATGTCGTCTTAGTGGATTAAAATAACCAAAAATCGGTGTCTTTTTGGTAATGTAATTTGTAATAGATGACGCAATGAAAAAGCTCGCTTCTCGACATTAGATTATTCAATATCTAGAGAAAATGTGACTTCATCTCGAGGCACCATTTACCGCGAACGAAGCAGTGTGTGCACATTTGATGATTAAAAAGTTGTATATTGCGAGAGATACCGAAGGATAGAGGCCAGCTAGGATGTCGTGTTTGCGACGGACTGCGGACGCCTTTTCTGCTACACTTCGCGACAAGGCACTGTTTCTAATAAATAGTTGTCTGTATTTGAGTCAAACTGTACTAACATTAAAAACACATTTTGCGTTATTTAGGATTGGGTCGCGAATATTCATAAAACTCAAGATTTGGGTCGCGCTCGAAAAAGTTTAAGAACCACTGTTATAAGAGGTAAACCCTACAATACATTCTGCAATTTTGTAGGCTGCGGTTTATTCATTTGCTGAACCGATTTTATTAAACATGAGTGATTTTTTAGCATTTTAAAGAAAAACCCAACAGAGATAAGAAAGAAACGATAACCTTTTGCCTTCATTCCTTAGGCCTACATGTTTACAAACCTCAAAAGACATCAAGTACATATTAACGATGACAAAATTGTTTTTGTTTTGAGGCATCATATTTTCCGTGTAGGTGCGCCATGAGTTTTTTCCCTGATAATTTGGCGTCACAGAAACCGCTTCCTTATGCTAAGTTTGATCAATAAGAGTGAACAATTCGAGATAAAGACCATGCCGTCGGTGGCCAGACATCATTATTAATCATTTAGGACTGCATAAACATACATTGAGCCTAGGTTGGACTTGCTATGCAGCAAAAAGCATTCGCCCCCATTACACTGAATAATTGAGTAACGTTAATCTGAATAAATATGCTTGTTTTTGTTATTGAGTAGGCCTAATAAAAGTTGATATTTAAGTTGTGCCAATAAAACATCAAAACTGCATATTTCGAACTGTTTAGCATTATATTATTAACGTGGACAGGGGCCGCGAAAAAAGTTATATAATAAAAGGAACCGCAAGCTCAAAAGTTTGGGAAGCCCTGGTCTAGATTACAAATTTTTAGTACCGGGAGATGAAA